ATTGAGATACTGAGAATAATTATGGTCTCTCTTGAGATGTTTAAAAGACATGTTCTAAGCACTTTGCTAAGGTTAGTGTGTGTGTGTTTTACTTTTTATCATTTTCAGTTAATGATATTCCTTTCAGGGTCCAAAGGTACAGAGAGTAGCTGGAAACACACCTGTGCGTGTACCAAAGCAGCCTTGATTTTCAGTGAGCTTCACCCAGGCCCGCAGAAATATTTAAAGGAATGATTACCTAGGGTAGCTCTGAAAAACAGCCCCAGCGTACAACAACTGCTTCATGTGTTAGGCCTTGCAATGAAGCTAAATGTGAATTCCAGGTTCTCGATTACAGTGGGTAGTGATCTAACACCTCGCTGGACATCTGGACCAGAAGTGCTCCGCACCACCGCTGTGCCGGAGTAGCTCACTGTCCTGCCCACTTTTCATCAAGAGGAGGCTGCAGTCACAACGCAGCGACGTGGTGGGTTTGATGGACATCTCTCCTCAAGGCTGAGCACTAGCTGTCTTGTTAGATTGACCTAAACCTGTAGTTCTTGGCCAGGTTGCTGTTTTCTGCTCAGAGGACATTTGGTAATGCCTAGAGACGTTTTTGTTTGTCAGACCTGGGAGGGGGAGGGTGCTACCAGCCGGCACCCAGTGGGTCAGGGCCAGGGATGTCGCTGAATGTGTACAACACAGCGCCTTACAACAGAGAATTTTCAGGGCCGCTTGTCAGTAGTGCTGAGGTTGAGAATCCGTGACCCTGAAGAAGCAAGGCTTTGCTCACAGCCCTTGCTCTGCCGGAATCATACTTGAGAGTGATTACAATTAAGGATACAGATTGTATTGGCTGGTGGTTTTGCCCGTGTTCTGCCAGTCTGGCTAGGATTACGTCTTTATCAATGGAAAGTGACAGGTGCATAAGTCCTCCCAGTCGGTGCCAAAAGAATACCAGGTGTACCCCTCATTCTGCATCTAGCCAGTCTCCTTGATTTGCCAACATCCATGCATCATTAATGATCTTCCAGACACTGCTTTCTTAAGATGTTTGCATTCTTGCTGGGATTATTTTTCAGCCCTGGCGCCAAGCACTTGAGCACATTTGTCGGCTCTTGTGCGTCTTCTGATGGTCTTTTCTTTGAGATTTTTCTACTTCCTGTATAGCACTACTTCTGATCTCTCTCACTGTTGTCATTGCCATTTACAAAGCTGGCTTTGTCTGATTTTGGAATATGCTGTTTCATCTTGCTTGTACTACCCGTCAGTCCCTTAGTAAACATGGACAGCAATCTTCTGAGCTAGGCTGAGGCCCAGGCAAGGGTGGACAAACACATGTGCCTCTTATCTCGCTGTGGTCTCATTTTTCTGCTTGTCTGCCCTGGTCTGGGCTTGTTTTGAGGACGGCAGTGCATCTCATGTCTCAGCCGAGGAGGTCTGGCTGATTGCATGTTTTCTCAGAGACAGCTGGGCGCTTCACAGGGTGTGGCTCGCCGTCCCTGTCACCAGGATAATTCCCCTTCACTTCTCCCAGTACAGATGGAGAGTGTAGAAATGAATAATTCACAGGATGGGTGGGAGCGATGATCCTTCCTAGTCTGGGACATATTTACCTTTTGTTCAAAAACACCTTGATGAAGAGAGGCCCAGCAGTGAGCTAGGAGTTAGAAGTGGGGAAGCTGGGTTACAAAAATGACTAAGACAGACACAAATCGTCAGCAATCAGCAGCTGACTAACCTGTCTAGTGCTCATTGTGGTGGCTGATGTTCGGCTAGTGGACAAGCAGAGATATTATTTACTTAAACTTCTGTTCATGTGATTCTGTAGGAGCCAGCGGTCCTATTGGTGTTTGTATTCGTAATTAAGTTTATGCTCAGCCCACGTTTGGTGCTGGGGAGAAGGAATCAGGACGCACTGGGAAATGCCCTCTCTGTCTTCTCAGGAGAGAAGAGGAAAGGATGATCCTTCTTGCTCCTCCTTCTTGGTTCTAGGCAGATAAAGCTGTGCGCAAGAGCAGCGGCGCGGGAAGGAACTGGAACCTCCTGAGTAGTCTGGTTTCCTTCTGTGTAAGCAGCAGACCCTGCGTCTGGGGGTTAGTGTTCAGAATAGGGGCACGGGCCTCCGGTCGAGTGGCTCCAGCTGCAGAACAGGGGGGTTTCGTCCGTCCGGAACCATCTGGGCCTGTTATCCCTCAGGATTAACTGTGTTTGTCCGTTAAGCGTGTAGCTTGTGTTTTGCAAAGTCCTATGGAAATAACTTAAAAATATCCCTTATCAACATCTCAGTCTTTCACGTGACACTGTCTTCATAGTGCCATGTATCATGTCATCTCTGAACGTCATAAATTCGAGAAGACTAAACAAGACATTGGAAACATTAGCAAAGGGATTGAATGGGGCTCATCAAACTTGGCCATCATCACACTCTGATGAAAGGACTCTCCCTATAGGGATTTCAGCTGTGCGACGTTTTTTAAGATTTCCTTTCTTTTCCTTAATACAGCTTATTAGCGTTTAGTCAGATCAGGTATAAATAAATAGTAATCCTTTGTCTTAGAGGTGCAGGCATTTGACAGCTCCGCAGCGCACACTGTTAATGTTGGCCAAGCCCTGTCTCCTGTCTAATGGATGCCTGGGAGATAAGTGCTTTATTCATAGATTTAAGTGCATGCATCTAAAGCTCCGAGAACTGCACTGCTATCAAGTAACGCTTCCATTTTCCTTTTCCATGAACGAGTCTCTTTAGAAAATACATTCCTCAGTGGCTGGGAAACTGTTGCTGCTTCTTAGTTTTCTAAAATCAGGAATGCATCTTCTCCAGACTTTTCTTAAACTCAGGATGAGTCACGGGAGGATGGGCTCAGAGCAAGGTCTGTGGGGACACAGGGGTTGTGCGGAGAAGATGAAGTGAGAGAGTCACTGGGTCACTTGTGCAGATGAGTGATAGCGTGTCATGCTCTTTGTGTTGAACTCTGGCCTGAAAGACCTGTTCCCTTCAGGTTAAGCCAGGTAGAAAATGAGTTTCTGTAAGTGAGGAACCTACGTTAGATATCTTGCATCAGAGGGTGTATTTTAGAGTGTGTTTTCTTCCATTAACTTACGCCATTTTTTGTTTCCTATTTTGAAATTGATGAGCTTGGAGAATATGGAATCTGGTTTTCAAACGTGCTGTACTTATAAAGATGTTCTCAATAATGATCGGTAATGAAATTGTAAGTGTTTTCTAGCTTCCTTACAGTTCCCAATAAGTAGTAAGAATAGGAACTTTTTCTCCTGAGGACACAAGAAAAAATAGGCCTCAGTTGTCAAAGATGAGAAGAGAGACAAACGTCATTGTTGTCATCGTGGGGAGTTGTTGTTCTTAGGGAAGACACCATTTCCGAAGAACTTCAGAATTTTTAAAATGGGGTCCATTTGAAACAGTTAGACAATAGCTGTGCATGAACTTGTGTGGGAATCCATCTTTTTCCATCATAAATTTCTGATATATATGTGTGTGTTTACATATATATATATATATGTAAATGGTAAATTAATGAGGTAGAAAGCAACTTTCCAAAGCAGATGTCAAAATTTGCAAATGGTGACTGAAATCTGGGTCCTGGCTGTAATATACAAGGAACATTTTTTTTAATACTTACTTTTCTGGATTGGAACCAGTGAATTTAAACAGGAGACTAGGAGAAACAATGAGAAGTTTAAACCTAAAAAAGAAACTGGACCTTAATTAATGGAGGTACCAGTCTATTGTCTGGTTCTCCAGTGGTTGTGTATGTGAAGATACGTATTAAAGTTGGGCAGAGTGACGAGGCATGGCAGCACCTGTGTCCCCAGTGTCCCCAGTATCATCCTGTCGTTAAGACTCAAGTCCTTTGTTTGGGGTCACTGTTTCCCTAATCATTATTTCAGGTGCCCATTGCTGTGTAACAAACCACCCAAAGCTCAGTGGCCGCTTAGCGATCCCCTGTTCCTTGGGTCTCTCTTGTGCCATTGCATTCCGATGGCCTCTGGCCCTGGAGGGGCCTGGAGGGCTCCACTGGGCAGTTGGCCGGGCTGGGCTCCTCCCTTTCTAGGTGGTCCCAGGGCCTCTCCTTTCCCCATGGCCTCCCCACAGTCCCACCGGCAAGGGAGTCCGACTTCCTGCTTGTGGCGTGGGGCTCACACAAACAGTCCCTCCAGGAGGGAGGGAGCAGAACCTGGGAGACACTTTCAAGACAGGCCTGGTCTGGCCTGATGTGACTCCCACGGCATCGTATTGGTCACCACATGACAGACCTGCTCAGTTTCCACGTGGGAGAGGAGAAGGGCATGGGGCGGGGCTCTGTGGGGACCATCTTTAGAGATGATCTGTGAGAGTGATGTGCCTTAAAACAGTTCATTTTAGACTGTATGTTCAGTATGTGCTGGTGAGTTTAAGCTTCAATTCTAGGGTTAGTTGGTTGCACTAGCCAGGAATTTCTGCCTGAGACGTAGTCAGCCAGCGTGAGGTCTGCGGGGCTGCACTCAAGTTCACCGCTAGAAGCACTTTAGTTATTCAAATTTTGATTCAAAACCAAGGCAGGCAGTTGGCTGTCTTGCGGTGGGGGGCAGGCCCACTGGGACAAAGAAGCTTCCCTGGGCAGATGCCTGGTATGGTGGGGTCCCCCTTGTCTGTCCGCCCAGCCCAGTGTCTCCAGGTGGAGTAGGGAGTCTTAGGCGCTTTGCCTTCTTGGTTATTGTTTGGAGGTGTGGGTGGGGAAGGAGCCCTCCCCTTCAACCCTCCTGCTGACAGTACTGTGTGTAGTGCATATCAACCACTGAGGTGTCAGGGACCTTAGAGGTCATCAAGTGTAACCTTTAACCCATGAACTTAACCTTCTCTCACTTCCTCTAGCACAGTCCTCAGCAAGCTAGAAACAGCGCTCTGCCTTTTAAGATAGAGTATCAGAAGCATGGCTTCTCCTTTGGGAACTGCCTACGTATTGCACGTCATGTGGCCATCAGATTTCAGCAGCCTCACTTTTACCATGTTGTTGTAGAACGTGCAAAGAGGAGCATTCACCAGCTGAAATGTACCCTGGGAGAAGGTGAAGTCAGTGTTGGGGGAGATGCTCTGGATCCTTCTTTAAACGCCAATGTGGGACATGAGGACACCGAGACTGCCTGGCCCGAACTGCAACACAGCCATGCTGGTGAGCCGAGTGTGGCCCTGCCCTGGATGACCCGCAGAGAGTTCTTTAAAGTCCACGCAGTAATGACTCCAGCCCGTCCTCCACTCTACTGCTACGATTTTATTCCTGAAATACAAGTCAGCAAATGCAGTTCCCTCGCTTATTTTTTCTTTGACTTCCCAACGTCTATCTAGGCCAAAGTCCCAAATCCTAGCATCATAGCAACATTTCTGTTAGGTGGCTCCAAGCGACCTTGCTAGCCTCATGTTTCTGCCCTCCTTCCAACCATCTGTCCTGCAAGCCTCGTCCTGCGAGCCCTGCTCTATGCTCTTGCATGGGCCACGCCTTCTACCGGAACTTTTCTCACCCTTCTCTGCTTAGTGACTTCCTGTTCATCCTTCACGGCGATATCTTCTCTGTGAAAACAAGCACAATTAGATGCTTCCTTTTTTTGTACCACTATGTATGGCTCTGGGTCGACCTACACACTTACATTGTTTTATATCTATTAGTGTATCACTCTTGCCCAGGGGATTCTCAGCTCTTGAGTGGGAGAGATTTTCCCGTCTTTTCTTTGCATCCCCAGTTCTTCGTGCATAATATGTGTTTAAACAATATTTCTTAGAAGGATGGAAGGGCAGATGGGTGATGATAAACTGTGGATCTCAAATAAGATTAATAAACCCATTGCTTCTGCCCTGTAGTTAATCAACTCACAGCTTTGTTGCATCAGCAAGCAACTAAGGAAAGTGAGGTATCTCCATCAAGAAGACGAAAAATGTCCCCTTTGGTAAGTATCAACATGTGCAACTCAACAAGAGCATGATTTTTCTAACTATGTTTTAACTTTACAGTGTCATTTTAGAAGTCCATGTTGTAGACAGTTCTGAGCAGGGCACCCTTGGAGTGTACAGCATTAAAAGAAATGATCTGCTCTCTAATTATTTTAGCTGCACAAGAGGGACCTCTATAGCAGAGGGAACCCTGATTTTTTAATTTGTTATTCACTTGAAAAATGTGAGTGAGGAAATAGTTGGGAGGATTTACTTTGCAAATGTTAGCAACTATAAAAAAGGAACAAAATGCAGAAAAGATTAGCCATTTCTTTTTTAGAAGGTTATATCTGTATTTGATCATTTTTAGAATTTACTTAATCATAATTCTAGCCATCGTTTGTGGTACTCTTTTATTATATGTGCCAAAAGCAAAGTATGTCATCTTATTCTATGCTTAAAAAAATACCTGGTTGTAAAATTGTGTGATACAAGAAGTTACACCCTATTCCTTGTGAAATTTTTTATTGCCATTGCTTTGACTGAGTATATTTTTCCTGATTGGAGAAATGTGCTATCCTAAAAGCTAAGATAGGTGTCAAGAAAGGGTGAGGAAAGGATTTGGCCAGGTTTAAATGGCCGAAACAGTAGCGAAGGTGGAATTTTACCCATCACTACACCCTGGGCACCAAACACGGGTCTGCAGAAGCCGGTCAGCAGGGCGTGGCCCCGCAGTTGCAGCTGGCCCTCCTCTTCCTCGGAGCGTCCTGGGAGAGAGTCGTCTCTTCATTTTTCCATTTGCCATGTGCTTTCTATCACCACCTTCACTTTCCAGCTTTAAAAAATGTTCGTATCCCTTCATCTTATCTATTTGTGTAATTTATAGGATAGAGAAATAAATACTACTAGCTACATATCATCTGGTCTCTGTTTATAGGACACCAGTGCTACATTGACTATGAAGATGATATTCATGATTCTTTGCCAAACCGAAACATGCTGCACTTGTTCTTTCTTTTTCATAGAGGTCCTCAGAACACGAGGACACCAGCATGCCTACCGTCCACAATCTCGTCCCCATCATCAATGATCAGTCCCAGTACATCCATCACTTAGAGGCTGAAGTCAAGTTCTGCAAGGTGAGTTTCTCACGAAAACTTTAAAGCTACCTAAATGAAAGTTTACAGGAATGATGTCTTTTATGAAAAGGTGCTATTCTTAGTCTTCGTGTTTATAGCAGTACATTCACAAGTGCTGTGATCGTATGTATCAGGCTGGGGAAGGATGCCCTTGACCGTGCTATTTCTGACTGCTTAGTTTCCCAGCAGCCCGTAGCTGAACTATGTCTCATATCTCTTGATAATATGATCTCAGGTTTCAGAGTTTTTTTTCTTTGCACTCCATTCACTTTAGCCCAGCTGGTGACAGATGCTTTGGAATAGTAATTCCAGTCATCCCTTCCTCCCCCTTTTTCAGTTTACTAAGCTGGGCACACAGGTAGGGACTTCAGCTACTGGACTAAATCTGCTCCATTGTCAGTCTAAAGGTGGATACCTTGACTTTGAATGATAACAATGGTTCGTGGGGCTGCTGATAACAGTGATCCAAAAGCTTTATGTGTCCCCTCTGGCTGGAAACACTAGGCAGTGATGTTGCTCGACGATTTGGAGTTCAGTAATGCCGTGGATGCCATGGGAGACTTTCTGACTTCCCGAAGTATGTTAGTGCTTTACTTTTTCTTTCTTTCTTTCCTTTGTCAATATCAATGCATCAGGTCACATGATATTTTTATAGTAGTCACTGATATCTTTTCATATCACATCTCTGTCCCACTTGGTGTAGTCAGTGTTTTGGATCTTAGAGTGCTAGAGGTGTGTAGTGGTAGCTCACTGTTTTCATTGCAATTAGTATCTGATGATGGATAATACTGGACTTTTTCATATGCTTCTTTTCCATTCATAGATCTTCCGTGATGAGGTATGTGCCTGGGGGCTCTATTATCAGGCCCATGCAGACACATATTAAAGATTATGTCTTCTGGAAGAATTGCCCCCTTTTTATTTCTGATGTTTTTCTTTGCTTCAAAGTCTATAGTTATTCCGGCTTTCTTTTGGTTTATGTTAGCATGGTATGTCTTATGCCATCCTTTACTTTTAATCTGTATCTTTATATTTAAAGTGGGTTTCTTGTAGACACCATATACTTGGGTCTTGTTTTTTACTCTGATATTCTCTGTTTTTTCATCAGTGTATTCAGACCATGGAGGTTTACAGTGGTTATTGATATACTTGGATATCTCTAATATTGACCATATTTGTTATTGTTGTATATTCATTGTCCTTGTTCTTTCTTTCTTGTTTTCTACTCTTTTTCTGCTATCTTTGGTTTTAAGTATTTTTTATAATTTTATTTTTTCTCCTCTCTTATCATATCAGATGGACTTGTTTTTTAACTTTAATAAGTGGTTGTCCTCGAGTTGACAATTACATTTACCACTAATCTAAGTGTACTTTCAAATAACACTTGACCACTTCAGGGTTAGGGCAGATTCCTTATAACAGAGCATTCTTGATTCTTTCATGCTACTGTTCATAACATTGCCATTACTCACTTCAGTTATACAGAAACTATAATTGCCACATTCACTGTTGCTGTTACAACACTGAGCAAACTGCTATGTGTAGTATGTATATAATATGTTGTATGTAATATAGATTTGTATATCAATTACAATGAAGACAAATTAAGGATTTTATCTCCATATATTTCTTCTCTAACACTTTTTAAAATGCATATCTGAGGTTATAACCTATACAAATTTCTTCCTTTCTGAAGAGCTTCTTTTAATATTTCTTGTAAGGCAAATCTACTGGTAATAAGTTCCCTACATTTTTGACTACCTGAGTGAATTTTTTTCTTTCAATACTTTAAATATTTGTTTCCTTTCTCTTTTTGCTTACGTGATTTTTGAAGCGTAGTCATGTATAATTATCCTTGACTCTCTATAAGTATGGTTTCCCCTCCCTCCTTCCCCACTTCTTTATTTAAAAATTTTCCCTTTGTCTCTGATTTTCTGCAATTTGAACATGATATGCTTAGATGTAGACTTTTTGGTATTGTCCTGCTTAGTGTTCTCTGAGCTTCCTGGATCTGTGATTTGGGGCCTATCATTTATTTTGGAAAATTATTGATCATGAATGCTTCAAATATTTATTCTCCTTTATCTCTTTTTTCTATTCCTGGAATTCCCATTACACATGTTACACCCGTTATGATTGTCTCAAAATTCTTGGATAGTCTGTTCTTTTTCATCCTTAGTTTCTCTTTGCATTTCAGTTTGGGAAGTTTCTAACAACATTCTTCAAGCTCATTAATTCTTTCCTTGGGTGTGTCCAGACTGTCAATGAGCCCATCAAGGTGTTCTTGAGTTCTATTGCTGTGCTTTTTATTTCCAGCCTTTTCTTTTGATTATTTTTAGATGTTTCATTTCTCTGCTTGTGTTTCCCATCTGTTCTTGCATGTAGTCCACTTTCCCCACCAGACTCTTTAGCATATTAATGATAATTATTTGAAACTCCCAATCTGGAATTCCGACATCGCTGCCATACCCAAGTCTGGTGCTATGCTTGCTTACTCACTTTAAACTCTGTTTTAAGTCTTTTCGTACACTTGTAACTTTTTGTTGAATGCTAGACATGAGGTATTCGGTAAGAGGAACTGAGGGAAAGAGACATTTGGCGTGAGGACTTACGTGTATTGTGTTTTATGTTTATGTTTTATGTTTATTTGCTGGGAGTTAGACTGGGTCTATGGTTTGCTGTTGCTGTGGGTTTCAGGGGCTAAAATTTCCTCTAATGTCTTGGCTTTAGAGGAAATTGTCTCCCCTGTAGTCTTTGGGCTTCCCTTGGGAATTCTTCCAAAATAGGATACAAGGCAGGCAGTTAATTTAGTGCGTTTCCCTGTTATTAGATAGGAGCCCTTTTGATGGAGTGGTAAGATAAGGGAGCATGGGAAGCATTCTTTAGTCCTGTGACCAGGTCTCAGCGTTTGAGTCAGTCTGTGCCCCTGGGCCATGACCTTCACAGTGCTTGCCAGTCTTCTCCTCCCTCTAAGAGAGACCGGAAGTCTAGAAGGAGCTGAAGTTGGGTATCTCCCTTCCCCCAGGTCAGTTAGCACCAGAAGAAAACAGTTTCTTTAGGCTCTGGTAAAATAATTTTCTTGTTAAAAAGAACAGAATGCTTTGGGCATGTTTCAAAATGGCTGCTCTTCCTCTCTTGCTAGTAGAGGGAGGCATGAGGGGGTTTCTCTCTAGTCTTTGCTGTAAGAGCCTGGTGTCCTAGACATAACACCCACAAAAGTGTAGGATTCCCCCCTATCTCTGGGCCCCCCTCGAGTTTTTAACTCTCAGCTGCAGATAATGAGCATTTCATCATGTGCATGTCACGTGCTCCTAGCCCAGCGCTCTTTCCCCGGAAGGCTCTCTGTGTTGTGATTCTCAGGGGCACCTACCTGTCTGTCTGTCTTTCTCTCCAACCCAGGACAAAAGTTTTCCTGTGACTCTGATGCATCTAAGAAGAGTGGTTGATTTTTCAGCTTATTTAACTTTTTTCTTGTTGTGAAAGTGAAAGGTTAAGCTAAGTCTGCAATATTGTTAAAATTGCCACTTTCAATTACAGCTTTGGTTTTCTGCATATATTGCATAACAGTTTTTGGTTGCACTAGTAATGAAGATTAAGTTAAGTAGTGTGCCATCAACATGTTGATAGTTTTTGACATTTTTCAGAAAATGAATTGCCATTTAGTAGCTGCTCTGATTGTTATTTATCTGTAATTCCTTATATTACACCCTGAAAGGCTAATAAAACACTCTTTCAGAATTCTCCACCAAAGTATTTCACTCATAATTGCCCTCCATCTGGCTACCCATTCATAGGTCATCATTATAACTTTTCAGAGTTTCCTTTTATTCTCAGAGTCTTGTGTGAACTATTGATAGTCCTATGTCAGTTTTCAATAAGTTATTGGCACTTGATGAGTGATAATATAGCTTACCTTAGTTTTCAGCAGTCTGCTTCCTCCTTAAAACTCTTTTTGATTGAGGAACAAGTATGAAAGACACAGGGATGAGGACTCGGGGGTGGAAATGGGAGGGAGGTGGGGAGACGGGGCAGGGGGGGGCTGGGATGGGAGAAATAGACAAAGAAATGTACTTGAAAAATAATTAAATAAAAATTTTTTAAAAACCCTCTTTTCGATAACCCCTTTAATTAAAGCTTTTCTATAAGCCTTAATCCCTTGAAGAAAAATTGGTCAGACCACACGCCTATGTGAAAAGGCCATCAGCAGTTCCCCTACTGCACACCCTCAGCCTTCTCTTTGTTTGTTAACTAATATTTGTCTCTCTAAACACAGTTATAGAACTTAAGAAAATGGGTAGGGAGCATAAGTCTTGCATGCTTTTCACCATGTGGGATCACCTAGTAATCAACAAATAAAAGCACTGCTTCCAAATGCTGAATGTATTTTGTATCGGTTTCTGCTTTTTATAGGAGGAACTCTCTGGAATGAAAAAGAGGTTACAGGTAGTCGTGTTTAACAACGAACAGCTCCAACAAGAGTTAAAGTTGCAAAGACCAGAGGAAGCGATGAGGGAACAAACACTTCTGGATGCAACTGTGAGCGTTTTTAAAAACCACAACTGTATTTTAGTTTGAATGTTCCCTCCTCCTCCCTGCCCGGCCCTCTGAACCACGGAGATTTTCTCCTTGAAGTTTGGCAAAAAGTACTGTGCGTGAATGTGCTCGGGGCCTCAAACATTAAGATTCACCAAGGTGGAACGAATCCTCAAATGACAAATTATGTTTTTTCCATACGGAAGGGGGAGGTCTGAAAGCAGGGAGTGTCTTAGATGGGAAATTCTTTGTTAACGCAAGAAACTGTTCAGAACTGTAACTCAGATTTCTGTTCTATTTCTCTAAATGTTTCTTGGATTCTGAATTTTAATTAAGTCTAATTAGCAAGCATGGTGTAGCAGAAGGAACACCGGCCCGCAGGTCGAAGAATCAAAACGTTAGTCTGTCCATTGTCTCTTGTAAATTGGGTGTTTAGCAGATGCTGTGACTTTACAGGACTTTCAACATGGCTTCACCCCATGGCCCTCTGTTTATTGGCAACTGGAGAAGATTCACCTATATTAGCAGTTCTTAGTCTTTGATGTGAATAATAGTCAGTTTGGATACTTGCTACAATGCAGATTGCTGAGCTCTGTCTCCAGAGAGTCTGAGTATGTTTGTCTGGGTTGAGTTTTTGAGTTAAAAATACGACATTTTAACACGTTGCCTAAGTGATTCTATTTCAGTGGACCACATTTTCAACAACAGTGGACTAAGTGGTCTCTGTAATTCTTTTGATGGTATTTAAATAGTGTTTAAACTTAGTTATCTCCTTATGACTTGTCAGAGATACTTTTGCCTTGAAAGTGTTTTTCATTTTTCACCCTTGCAGTGGAATTCAGTTAATCAGAGCTTGTTCTGCTTTTTGAGACAAATTCAGCTTTCCGTGGGGAAGCTTTAATACTTGCCTGTTGCAGCTTTACTTTGCAAGGGATGCTGGGGGTTTTGATACAGTTGTCATTGGTAAATCAGTTTTTTTAAGAACAAATGTTTTAATGTTTTAACTAGGTGTTGTCTGATTTTTGTTTCTGAAGTTTTTTTTTTAATTTACCTGGCCTGATGTTTCATTTATAATCCTTGAGTTCTATGCATTAGAATTTGCTATTTAGAAATTGTTGATTGTGTTAACTTTGAAAAATGAAACATGATTAGTATTTCAGTTTATTTTTCTGCAATTACATTTCAATTTATGATCAGCTATTTTCCTTCACTGTGACTTTTTCTGAATAATTATATCATTATATTATTCAGATTAGTAGTTCAAAATTCTACCTTAGTGCTTATTATCTTAATATCAATTTGAAGATAACATAGCCATACAAAAAAGTACTTAGAAGCAGCTCGTTTTTTTAAATACATATATTCTTTTGCTTTTCTTCCAAATGTGTAATCATTTAGCAAACAGCGGCTCAATTATTCATAGTCTTCATTATTTATACAACGGCAAAGAAGTGGAAGAAGGGGAAGTGCAGCGAGAAAGGAAATTAGGCAGACAAGTGAGTCAGAGGGCCGGCCAAGCGAGTGGTGCGAAAGGGGAAGGAAATGGTGCGAAAAGGGACATGCGCTTGGCCACGTGAACAAGGGCAACTTGCTAAAGAAAACTACAGTTACAGTCATGGAAAGAACAAACTCCTAGTGAGCTTTCATTGCTTTGGTTTTTACACATTCCCATGAGCTAAAATATAACACAAATATTGCAGTCGTTTGTTGCAGAAGTGCCAGGTGACCTTGCTGTCTATTCAGTGTCAGTCGTCTGTGTTACTTGGTCGTTCCAGCAGTGCGACCCCCACTTTTTACTCGTACAGGTCAAATGAGGCATTTCAACAACCTATGCATGCTGCTTTCTTAAAATAATATGTCTTCATGTAAATGAAACTTTTTAGAGTACCTTAAATATAAACAGATCAAAGGATGGCATCTTCCTTTTTCTTCTGAACTCTTTTTTTTAAAAAAGATTTTATTGATTTTTAGAGAGAGGAGAAGAGAAGGAGAAAGAGAGAGAGAGATACACCAATGTGTGGTTGCCTCTTACAGGACCTCTACTGGGGACCTGGCCCGCAACCCAGGCATGTGCCCTGACTGGGAATCAAACTGGTGACCTTTTGCTTCACAGGCCTGTGTTCAATCCACTGAGCCACACCAGCCAATGCTCTGAACTCTTTTTATTGAGCCTCTTGCCACGTAGGTGGTAGATCTTGCTAAAGCTCTTCATGGATTTGAACATAGATTTTCAGTGTTTCTTAAAGCCCTCTTCTGAAAATTGATTTAAATAGTTACATAGTAATAATTAATATTTACTGATGACTACACGGTTATGGTGTTTCAGGCACTATATGAAGCACTTCATTTACGTTTTGTTATTTTAGTTTTATATTAACCACACAAGGCACTGTTATTATGTCTCTTTTCAGATGAGTAAATTAAGATACACAGTGGTTAGGTAACCAAAGTAACCTGTCTAATTTCACAAAACTAGAAAATAGCAAAGCTAAGACTCAAACATGGGAATGTCTGACCCCAAATCCATCCCCCTAGCCTTGAATTATGCTGCCTGCCTACATGAATTAGTAATGACTTGTCAGGATTGAACCAAACCATCTTTGTTTGGCCTGGGATAAAAGATTTCCCTCAGAAGGCAAGAGCCTCCTCTTGATTGTTTCTGAGTTTTAACCTTGGACTTGAGTGGTAGCCTACATGACTTTCAGCTTTTAGCCTAGTTTTTGACCTACCAGTTGAAGAAGAAAGCAGATTGTTGTTTTTTTTTAAAAAAAACTACAATGTTTGAAGAATATTTCATTTCCATTTTTATTTTTCATTGCTTATTCTTATAAAATTTCTTTCCATGGAGGGATTTTTGTGAGAGTTCAAAAATTATAACATTAAAATATGCTACTTACTAGAACTTCTGGCCTGTATACTCAAGGATCTAGGAGATTTTTTTTTTTTAAGTAGCAGATTTCCCAGCCATTTCTTTCCATGTCTATTCTCATCCGCTGTCCCTACCAATCTCTCTGCTCAGTTAAGAAAGTAAAGGTTTTCAGTGGTCATCAGGGATGTAAATGTAATTCGATTTTTGAAATCTTAGTCAAATGCCATTCAAGCTTTTAAGAGCTGTCTGAGACAGAATAAAGTGTGAATTAGACTAGCACGTCTTTCCCAAGAATGCAAATGTTTCTGTCATGTTAGTGACTGAAGGTCTGTGTGCTTGCTTTCCCCAATTTCTCCATAAAATTAGCACCACCCTTCTTCATTGCTCTCCAAGGCAACTCTGGGTGCAATCCAGTCTTACGAGATTGGTCCCTACCTATCCAGTCAAGTTCAAGCTTATTATCTCATACTCTTCAGGTCCTTATTTGACTCTAGCTTGGCCTTCTGACACCCATTGCCTTGTGCTTCAGCATCTAAGGATGCTGAATTCCCTGAGTCCCCTGCGACCAGCCTATTTCACACTGCTATGGCTTTTCTCACCATGTTCTCTTGTCCTGGTGTGCCCTTCCTGTGTAGCTTACTCTTATTTATCCTCTGGGCACCAATGTCTAAACTCTAGAAAAATCCTCCTTGAATTTCCTGTATGGAATGGAATCTCAGAGTTCTACCTTGGGGAATGTCATTTTCCACCTTCTAGCCCCATACGACACTGCAGTATAGTTGTCTTTGTGGGGACCTCTCCTGTGGCTACTACTGTACTCTCTGGCCCCGAGCAAGAGTTCGGTGATTATTTGTTGAATGGATGTAAGTATTTTAGTCCTGGCTGTGCACATAGGTCACGTGGATCTTGGGCTGCTTATTTCACTGAATGCTGAGAGGTGCCAGAGGTGGAAAGCAGGCCCCAGGTTCACTAAACTCCATCTGCAGACCTATTTGTTGGCCAAATGTTAAGCCAATATTTATCAATGCTTCCGATGAAAAGCTAGATCTCTGGCTTATTTTTTTAATAAAAGGATTTTGGAAATATGAGTTTGCTTTCACACGTGGCAGCAATGGACTGGAGGCGGAAGGGGCTGCTTCTTTCGGGTGGTGTGTTATGGTCCCCACCACTCCTTTTGAATCCCTGACATGTCACGCACTCTTTTGCTTGTTGAAGACAAGGATTACTCTGGAGCCAGATTGCCAGGGTTCGAATCCTAGCCATACCACTTATTAGCTACTTCCTACTTCTGTAACTCAGCAAGTTATGCCGTGTGACTCAGTTTCCTCACCTCTAAAATGGAAATAGCAATGAATCTTACAGGGTTGTTGTAATGAGCAAATGAACTAATATATGTGAAGCACATAAACAGCGTTGGGCGCAGAGTAAACACCATATGTATTAACAGTTATTATTAGTCACGCCTTTCTGTAATGTGAAAAACGAAAGGCAAGCTACGGGAGAGCTGTGTGTTTCGAGAGTCCATGTCTTAGGAGAAGAGATAGATTCATTTGCTCACTGCCCTGACATCTTTGACTTTGTAGCGCGTGCTGTGAAATATGACCCTCGTAGCTGGACAATGTAAAATGATTATTAATTTTCAGTGAAGAAGCATCTGCTTTTTAAAATTCTTTTATCATAGATAAGACTCAAGTATTCCACTTGCAAAGCATACATGTTGATTTAAAGGTAACTGTTGATTGCAATTACCGGCATGTTGTGTTTTAGGGAAACATGCAGAATTCTTGGATTACAACAGGTGAAAATTCCGGCGTGGAGGAAGCTCCCAAGAGATCGCTCTCCTGTGGCAGCGTGGATATTGTCAAAGCTTCGTCTGCCAGGGAGGCTGAGAAATGGAAGCTAGAACTGGTAAGTATTTAGGTGCTTTTGTGCTAACATATCTACTTTTTTGGGTCCTTTTTATTGTGGTAAATATACAAAACATAACATGTAACATTTTAGTAATTTAAAAATTTACCATTTTAAGTGTACAACTCATTTGCATTAGGTCCATTCACAATGGTGTGCAACAGTCAACACTATCCATTTTCAGAACTTTTCATCATCCCCCCAAAAAACTCTGTACATGTCAAACGGTAACTCCCATTCTCTTCTCTCTCCACCCCCTGGTGACCTCCTCTCTTCTGTCTCAATGAGTTTGGCTGATCGAGGGCCCTGCCACAGTGCAATCAAACCGTATTGATCCTCTCGTGTCTGGCATGTCTTACTTAGCATAATGTTTTCCAGGTTCATCCATGCTGTAGCATGTACAACAATTTCATTGTCCAAGTTCTCAGTGCTCATACAGAGAAAAGCACAACACATCTGTTTAAGATTCACATCTGCTCAAAAGTGTTCAGCATGCTTCCAGCGCCTCTACTCTGTGGAGACTGCGTGAGCTGTCTAAATAGGGGTCTTCGTGTTTGTATTCTTTCCGTGAATAGCTAACCTTGCCTCTTCAGTCCGTCTGGGCTCCCTTTCCCACCTGGCCCTTTACACGCCCCGCCTCTTCTGCGCCTTTCTTTTTTTTTTTTTTTAACTTTTTTATTGATTATGCCATTACATTTGTTCTATTCCCCCCCTCCGTTCCCCTCCACCCTGCATACCCCTCCCCCACCATTTCCCCCTTTAGTTCATGAACACGTGTCTCAAGTTCTTTAGATTCTGTATTTCCCCTACTATTCTTACCCTCCCCCCCATCTATTTTCTATCTACTGTCTATGCTACTTATTTTCTGTACCTTCTCTCCCCTTCTCCTCCTCCCACTCCCCTGTTGCTAACCCTCCATGTGATCTTCATTTCTATGGTTCCGCTCCTGATCTAGCTGTCCTCTTAGTTTGCTTTTGTTTTAGGTGTGGTTGTTACTAACTGTGCGTTTGCTGTCCTTTCACTGTTCATCTTTTTTATCTTCTTTTTCTTAGGTAAGTCCCTTTAACATTTCATAGAATAAGGGCTTGGTGATGATGAACTCCTTGAATTTGATCTTATCTGAGAAGCACTTTATCTGTCCTTTCATTCTAAATGAAAGCTTTGCTGGATAGAGCAATCTTGGTTGTAGGTCTTTGGTTTTCATGACTTGGAATACCTCTTTCCAGCCCCTTCTTGCCTGTAAGGTCTCTTTTGATAAATCAGCTGATAGTCTGATGGGAACTCCTTTGTAGGTGACTGTCCCCTTATCTCTTGCTGCTTCTAGGATTCTGTCCTTCATTTTAATCTTGGCTAATGTAATGATGGTGTGCCTTGGTGTGTTTCTTCTTGGGTCCAACTTCTTTGGGACTCTCTGAGCTTCCTGGATTTCCTGGAAGTCTATTTCCTCTGCCAGAATGGGGAAGTTCTCTTTTATTATTTGTTCAAATAAGGTTTCCACTCGTGACTCTTCCCCTTCTGGTACCCCTCTAATTCGAATGTTGGAACGTTTAAAGATGTCCTGGAGGTTCCTAAGCTTCTCCTAATTTTTTTTGAATTCTTGTTTCTTCATTCTTTTCTGTTTGATCATTTTTTTCTTCCTTCTGGTTCACTCCATTGATTGGAGTCCCAATCTCCTTTCCATTACTATTGGTTTCCTTTGTATTACCATTCATTTCAATTAGTTTAGCCTCCATATGTTTCTCTAATTTGTGACTAAAATCAACCAGTTCTGTAAGGATCCTGATCACCAGTGTTTTGAACTGTGCATCTGAAAGATTGGCTATTTCTTCATCGCTTAGATCGATCGGTTCTGGGGCTCTGAGTTGTTCTTGAGCCATTTTTGGTCTGTTCGCGCCGTTAAGTAAGTGGAGCGAAGCCTTAGTTGTTTACCAGGATGGGGTGACCCAGGTCGCTGGTTTGTGATGCTGTGTGTGGGGGCGTGGTCAGAGAGGGAGCAATGGCGGTCCTCTCCGCTAGCCCAGTCCGTCCAGTCACACCATTCGCCCCAGGCCTGTTTATCTGATCGGAATTGTGCGAGCCTGCTGCGCCGCGCTGGCTCCCCTCTTCACTGGTTTACCTGCACGCAGATGCGCGACCGACCGCAGACAGCTCGCCGCCCCTCTCCCCTGTGCGCTCCCGTAGCTAGCCCGCGATCTGCGCTTTCAGCTGCTTGCGCACCACCCGTTCGGGAATTTTTTTTTTGCCAACCTGCTCCGCTGCTGGCTTCACTCCTCTTACCGGTTTAGCTGAGCATTTCGTTGTCTTTGGACTCCATATTGTCAGTGTTCTGTGTGGCTTGGTTGTGTTTTTTGTTGTTAAAAATAGTTGTTCTTAGATTTGGTTGTGCACGGAAGCAAGGTGGTTCCACCTACACCTCCATCTTGGCGGAAGTCTCCTCTTCAGCGCCTTTCGCTCCGTCGGAAATGATGCTTTACGTCTCAGCGCCTCCTCCACGGAGTTTTCTCTACTTCCCTTTGACTGAGTGACAAATAACTTTGCCTTCTGCACACCTTGCTATCATAAATTCTATATAAATGAATTTATAGAGTTCGTCTGTCTTTCCGCGCCTTGCTAGAATCTAGTTCCGTGAAGTTGGAGGTGTCTCCATCTTAGATACCCGGTAAGTACTTGTTGAATGAGAGAATGGCAAGCGCAGGGGCCTGTAGAGAGCTTGGTCTGTCGTCCATGTTTTACAGCTTTCCTTTTGTTATTCGTTCCATTGTGTCATATATGCATATTGTATGTATGTTTATTATGCTTCAAATGTATAGCAGTCACAGTAGGGGGCCCCGGTGGGGTTGGATCTTTGTCCTCGTTAACCTTGTTGGTTATAGTCTGTTTTTCCTGGCATCACAGTTTTTAAAGAACGGCCTGATTTATGCAAGTTTGAACAGAACTTTTTCTCTGTAATTGCCATTTTTTGACTCAGTAGTTTGTGCAGGATTTCACTCAGTAAATACAGAAAGCTTTACGAGGACGAGAGGAAGTAGCTCCTGAGAGCGCACGTTATTTTTTCTTCTGGGAAAATATTGAGTTTCATACTAATCATTAAAGTTTGCTTATAAAACACAGGACATAGAAGAAATGTAATTTTTTTTTTCCTTTTCTAAAGGAGAGGCTGAAACTTACTTATGAAGAAAAGTGTGAAATCCTGGAATCACAAGTGAGGATTTTGAGGTGAAGTATTACCACTTATATAAAATCATAGCAAAGGCACAATGATCTTAAAATATGGGTCTGGCGAAAGTAAGGCCTGCTCAGGGGTCATCACGGTAATAACATGGGTATAATGATTTGTGGTTATAATTTGAACAGTTCACCCAAAGTGTCCTGTGGTGTGCTTGGGTGTGATATTGTCATGTTAAAGAATCACATGCTTATGATTTTGTAATAAAAGATTTCATGATAAAAAGGGGGCATTAGTTATGCTGCTCCCCTGTATATTTGAATGTTTGCTGAACTCCTAGTTTTAGTCTATATAAGAATTATTTGATGACATTTTGTTTACAATATAATACATATGCTCTTATTATTAAAGAACAAGGAGGCATCAAATTGTGAGATCCCTTTCCAAATGTTATTTCAAATAACTGTGAACTAAATTACAAGTTTTATTTCTCATTAACTGTAAAATATTTGTGTTTCCTGACAGAAATAAGAATAAAGAAATTAAGCTTTTAAAATAAATAGTGAAAATAATATGAACCATGAAAGGACAGCAAACTCACAGTTATTAACAACCACAACTAAAACAAAAGCAAACTAAGAGGACAGCTAGATCAGGAGTGAACCATGGAAATGAAGATCACATGGAGGGTTAGCAACAGGGGAGTGGGAGGAGGAGAAGGGGGGAGAAGATACAGAAAATAAGTAGCATAGACGGTAGGTAGAAAATAGATGGGGGGGCAAGAATAGCATGGGAAATATAGAATCTAAAGGACTTGAGACACATGGTCATAAACTAAAGGGGGGGTAATGGTGGGAATGGGGGGTGCAGGGTGGAGGGGAACGAAGGGGGGAAATAGGACAACTGTAATGTCATAATCAATAAAATATATTTAGAAAAAATAAATAGTGAAATGAAGCACTCTAGTTTTCAAATTACATGTAAGAGTTTTTTTCTTTATTGATTTTTCTTCATTTAATGTTAAAGGTGCAACAGTAATATAATAATTTAAGTATTTTTGTATACATGGTGAGTTTGTGTATACATAATGAGTTTTCACGTGCTTTTCATATGTTTTAAAAATTCCAATAAAAGCTATATATTATAGATTAACCATTAGTGATTTATTATGTATTCATTGTCCAAGAATTGAAATGCAATGTTCTCCTTTTGGAGCTAGAAAGTTATTTTTTTATACAAAAAGATACAAGGAATTATTTTTTCTATGTTAAAGTTTATTTTAAACAATAGTAATGAAATATTTTCAAATGAAATGACCTTTAAAATACTCATAATAAATTTACTTTGATAATTTTATTTTATTTATTAAAATGCTTTTAATGATTACTTTACTTTGGTAGTCTGATTTGAAACAAAATTTGAAGTCTTCAACAAGTATGTGTCTAGAGATGTCGCTAGAGTAATACTAAGAACCAGAACACAGGGGCATTCACCACATGTGCTGTCGTTCACTGATTTTAATACGCTCTTATCATACTTTGTCCACATTCATTTGAAGACTTACAGAGAAATTTTTACTTTTCCATATAGCAACCTAATATTTAGGAAATTGTCTAATTTTTGCTTCCTTATTATTTACTGTGTTATATTTTGATACAGATTGTGTTTTGATTCTTTAGTCTTTAAAATTACATGTTTCTAACTCATTATGTTAATGGTACTCTGATTTGTTTTTTCTCAGTCAGAATTTATATATGCCATCTTTAATTACATTACGTTGAACGAGACTTTGTTCCCTACATCTTTCTGTTTCTTTATTTTGTTTTGGTATAATTTAAGACTAACGAAAGAGGCCTTTTTCTTAAAGAAAGATATAAAATTGCTACTCTCAGAACCTCTCACTTTATGGTAATTATTTCTTTATTATTATTATTTGCCATTACAAATAATCAGAGCTACTTGAGTGTTTTCAACTTGGACCTGATAGAAATAGTCAGGGAGTATTTTACTTTGGAATATGCTTCCCAAGTTTTTTAAAATAAAGCCTTTGAAAGTCAGACTTTTTCTTTGTAATACTTGAAAAGAAATCTTATTATGTCAGAGATATTATCTTGGGAATAGGGCAAAACAGTTCCTTTTTTTTTTTTTTTAAAAATATATTCTCTTGATTATGCCATTACAGTTGTTCTATTCCCCCCCTTCATTCCCCTCCACCCTGCACACCCCTCCCCCATCATCACCCCCTTCAGTCCACGTGTCTCAAGTCCTTTAGATTCTATATTTCCCATACTATTATTGCCCTCCCCCCTATCTATTTTCTATCTACTGTCTATGCTACTTATTTTCTGTACCTTCTCCCCCCTTCTCCTTCTCCCACTCCCCTGTTGCTAACCCTCCATGTGATCTTCATTTCTATGGTTCTGCTCCTGGTCTAGCTGTCCTCTTACTTTGCTTTTGTTTTAGGTGTGGTTGTTAGTAACTGTGAATTTGCTGTCCTTTCACTGTTCATCTTTTTTATCTTCTTCTTCTTAGATAAGTACCTTTAACATTTCATAGAATAAGGGCTTGGTGATGATGAACTCCTTGAACTTGACCTTATCTGAGAAGCACCTTATCTGCCCTTCTATTCTAAATGAAAGCTTTGCTGGATAGAGCAATCTTGGATGTAGGCCTTTGGATTTCATGACTTGGAATACCTCTTTCCAGCCCCTTCTTGCCTGTAAGGTCTCTTTTGAGCTCACGGTCTGATGGGAACTCCTTTGTAGGTGACTGTCCCCTTAGCTCTTGCTGCTTCTAGGATTCTCTCATTTTAATCTTGGCTAATGTAATTATGATGTGCCTTGGTGTATTTCCTCTTGGATCCAACTTCTTTGGGACTCTCTGAGCTTCCTGGATTTCCTGGAAGTCCATTTCCTTTGCCAGATTGGGGAAGTTCTCCTTTATTATTTGTTCAAATAAGTTTTCCACTTGTCACTTTTCCTCTTCCCCCTCTGGTACCCCTATAGTTCAGATGTTGGAACGTTTAAAGGTGTCCTGAAGGTTCCTAAGCCTCTCCTCATTTTTTTTGAATTCTTGTTTCTTCATACTTTTCTTTGTGGTCAGTTTTTTCTTCCTTCTGGTCCATTCCCTTGATTTGAGTCCCAGTTTCCTTTCCATCACTATTGGTTTCCTGGGCATTTCCCTTCATTTCAATTAGTTTAGCCTTCATTTGTCCCTCTAATTTGTGACTAAAATCAACCAGTTCTGTGAGCATCCTGATCACCAGTGTTTTGAACTGTGCATCTGAAAGTTTGGCTGTTTCTTGGTCACTTAGATTTATGGGCTCTGGGGCTCTGAGTTTTTCTTGAGCCATGTTTTGATCTGTTCGCACCTGTTATGTATGAGAAGCGGAGCCTTAGTTGTTCACCAGGGCGGGGCCACCCAGGTCGCTGGGTTGTGACGCTGTATGTGGGGGCCGAGGCAGAGAGGGACAATGGCGATCCCCTCTGCTGCTTCCCGCAGCTGGGGCCTGCGCAGTCTCTCACTGCTGACTTTTTCACCAGTTTATCTGCGCTCGAATGTGTGACCATGGTCAGCCAACCGCCTTGCACCCTCACTGGGTCTGCCTGTCGCAACCCCATGCCTGGGATCCGCCCACAGCCGCCTGTGCGCCTGGGTCCTGGCCCACCCCCACTCTGCTGATGGCTCCGCCCCTCACACTGGTCTGGACGAATGGTTTGTTGTTGTTGGACTCCCACACAGTTTAATTTTCTGTCTGTTTTGGTTGCATTTTTGGTACTAAAACTTTGTTGTCCTTAAACTTGGTTGTGGAAGGAGGCACAATGTTTCCTCCTATACCTCCATCCTGGCTGGAAGTAAAACAGTTCCCTTTTTTTTCAACTTCCGACTCTCATGAGATTAGCTTTTTTAATCCTTAGTTCACCTGTGGACCTTCCCCCAGGTTGCCAGAAACGTCCCCTGACCCCATAGTTGAGGTCGAGTGTGATGGCCAGATGTCATAATCATTGGCTTCTCCTCTGGGACAGTGAGTAAGCTGGGATAGCTTATAGGTCCCTGAATATACTAGACACTGACAACAGAGAGTAGACAGAGCCAGCGATCAAGTGCCTGCCTTCAGTAGTCCAAGAACTCAAGGGCAGCATTCTCCTTTAGAGCTAGGAAGTTTCTCTTTGTACCATAGGAAAGGGGTGTCTGTGCAAGGAAGCGCAATTGCTCAAGTTGACGCGACCAAAACTTGGAGAAAAACATCTTCAAGGAGTATCCCATAAAGTAAAAACAAACAAACAGCCCCCCACAATTTCGCAGCCCCACCCCCAGCCCCCTTTTTTAAGCAAGCTGCATATTTCCAGTGCATATCTGCTAGTTATGGAATCTTAAGACTGGCAGGTTTGATATAACTTCTTCCCGTAGCCCACTCTCTTTCAAAGCAGCTCTTTGTAGAACTTGGTGGTTCGATAATTTTTTTCATGTTTTTCGTCTTGAAGAAAAATGGACAATGACAGGATCCATGCCTTTTATGTGATCCTTTAAGGTACTCTTTATACATTTGAAGAGGTTAAACACCGGAGACCGGGTATTTCCCCCCAGATCCAGGGTGTTCTGTGGTCACCCCAGCCCATTATTAAATGAAACTACTTAGAAGTTTCATTTGTAGTTTTTCTTTTGTGGGTCAAATACAAGACCCAGGATCCTGCGAACAGAGAGCCAGTATCCCAGGCAGACTACTTGTAAAACTTGGACGAATTAGTTAATATGTTTGTTTCATTTTATTCAAAGCATCAATTAGAATAACCCTCACTGACCTAATCCACGTAGAGTTCCGGGCCGGGGTAAGACTTACTAAGGTACCGTATGTAAAGCACGCCACGAGGCTAACACCCATGACTAATGGTAGTAGCCGTCACTCTGACGATACCTGGCCACTTACTGGAACTTTTCCCCTTCTTTTTAGGAAAGACTTAGCTGAGTATCAGAAAAACTGTGAAGACCTCAAAGAGCGACTGAAGCACAAAGAGTCCCTCCTTGCTGCGAACGTTGCCAACCGCGTCGGCGGTCTCTGTTTGAAGTGCGCCCAGCACGAGGCTGTGCTCTCCCACACCCACGGCGACGCCCGCGTGCAGACCATCGAGAGACTGACCAAGTGAGTGCGCACAGTCTTCGGCCACATGGGGGATTTTCCTTAAAGGGGCCTGGCATTCCTTCACCCCAGGCTAAGTCACGCGTGCTGAATGGGACACTTCGAGTAAAAAGGATTTATAAAGGTCCCTTCATGTCACTTTCTTGAAAACAGATCAGCTCTGCCAACTAGGGGTGTCATGTCACTTTGGGCAAGGAATTTTCTATCTCTTGGTTTCATTCTCGTCTTGAAGCAAGAAAATAGAAGTAGATAGTCTTTCTAATTCTGTTCCTTTCTGGGACTCTATAATTGCACATCCAGCACTATTCTTATCTAAACTGAGTCTGAGAAGAATTCTTTTGATTTTTTTGCCCAGTCTTGGACTTCCCTGCTGTGGTATAGGTAGAGTGAATTATTTTTGTGTCTTTATCACATACCTGTGGCGAAGGATATTATTAGTTCATCAGAAGAGAGTCCCACTGTGCTCCTGTGTTCATTAATATTCCAGGACTGATTAAGGGCAAGTTACAGATGAGCTTTTATGTAATCAAAGTTTTCATTGCCCTGGGCAGTGGGGCTCAGTTGGTTGAGGCATTGTTCTGCACACCAAAAGGTTACAGGTTTGAGTCCCTGTCAGGGCACGTGCCTAGGTCAAGGGTTCGATCCCCTGTTGGGGCATATGTGAAAAGGCAGTGGATCAATGTTTCTCTCTCATATTGAAGTTTTTCTCTCTCTCTCCCATCCTGTCTTTCTTTCTCTCCCTTCCTTTCTCTCTGAAAGCATTGACAAAATCCTTGGATGAGAATAGAAAAAAATTTTTGTCTGAAATACTGCAGTTCCCTGTGTACACCTATTTCTGTCCTGTTTTTCCAGGGAGGTTGAGAAGTGTTACTCACTGTGTTACCCAGTGATGATGTATAGCACGTGTTCTCCCACCCCTGCGTTCTCTGTGCTCCCGGTCACCTCTCTCTCTCTCTCTCTCTCTCTCTCTCTGCCTGGGCTCTCCACGTAGCCCAGCGTCACTCCCTCCGAGAGTGTTCTCCCACCAGCCTTGCCCCCCTTGTTTCTCAGCTGTCATGGATTCCTTTCTTCTAAGATCTTACAACACATCCTGTCTCCTGGGAGGCGGCCACCAGGTCTCGTTCATTGCCATGTGCCTGGCTTCTAGCAGAGTGTGGTGGGCACTCAGTAAATGTCAGTGGTTCCCTCGACAAGACACTTGGCACTTAGGGCTTCACAGTCGGATGCCCTCCCGTTGGAGCTGGCCTGGGGAATGTGAAAGACTGCGGCCGCTAAAGTCAGGCCGGATTTGCTCTGCATTTTGACCATGGACCAAAGTGCTTTCCCTCTGGAGTCTGGAGTGTTCTGTCGTTTGGAGGTGTGGTACCTACCACCCCGTAGGGACTTGCTGAGCCAGCCCAGCCTGTGCCTAGGGTGTAGCTGCGGAGACTCAGCCTACATTCATATTCTGGTTCTCCTGCTATCTTACTGTGTGGCCTCACAGAAGTTACTTAACCAGTTTTGTCTCAATTTCCCACTTTGGAAATGGAGATAAAAGTACCTAAGTAATAGGGTCACTGAGAGAATACTGATAGATGTGCTTAAAACAGTCCCTGCTGTGAACATTACATCCCCCCGACCCCTCCCACACTCCACGAGCAGCCACACTGTCTGGAAGCCGTGGGGTCTGCATAAGACTAACCTGCTGGTCACTATATAGAAACCGAACTTCACCAGTGTGGACTGACTGGTCGTTTTTATGACCAGTGCTGACGGTCCTGTTTTGGTTGAATATTACATTAATTATTAACTATACTATTAAATTATTCATATAGATTCAATATAACTGTAACATTTATTAAATATATTTTTAGATCTAACTAACATGCAGTTAGCATTTATTATACACCACAGGGTGCCAGGCAGTTGAAAAATATATCTGTCTTACTCGTGGCAAAGCATTTAGGAGATAAATGTTCTTACCCCCACTTTACAAACCTTTTATATTAAAAGAATAGAACCACACCTCACAAAAATAAGTTCAAGATGGTGTAAAGACCCAGATATAATTTTGACTATAGAAGTATTAGAAGAAAATATAGAAAATATCTTTAGAGCTTTGGGCTAAAGTTTTGAGCATGACATGATGAGCAGAAGTCATAGGGGAAATAAAAATGATACATCTGACTCCATTTAAAAAACCTTCTTATGATACAATATTGCAAATTAAATGAAAAGACTGGGAAAATATTTTCATCTTATATAATAAAAAATTGGTATGATATGTAAAGAATTTCCTTTGAAATAAAAAGAGACAAACTGCCCAGTTGCAAAGTTGAATGGCAATCACTGAACAATGAAAGAGGGAGCTGTCAGAACACAGGAAGATGTTCATTCTGCTATCATTCAAGGAAATACATTCTTTAATAAAACCAAGCCGTCCAACCTGTGAAAGTTAAAGCAGACTGACAGTCACATGATTTTGTGAGTATTTTCATACCCTGCTGGTGGAACTGTGAATTGGCACTTCTTTGGAGGATAATCGAACACTATTCATTGATATGTAAATTGTGCGTGACACGTTTCAAAAACTCACCCTGGAGAACTTATGTATGGTCATATGGGTCCTTTATAGGGAATGGTTTTTGCAGCATTATTTTTAACAGTGCTGTGATATTGTGATATAAGAAATATATATTTGGGCTTCATGTGCCATTTCTGGCATAGACAGAGCTTCTAAAACCCCTGTAATTTCATAAATGAAAAGAATCATACGAGCATCTTTTGTGGTACTATTTCTTCCCCCCCTGCTCGTGATACAGCGCCAGAGCATAAAGGTGAAAGGAACATCTTTTTTCTTAACAAGCCCCTTTTAAGCCTACTCGAGTCTATGTTCATGAGAGGACTTTTGGAAACCCATTAGGCATGGGGGTCTGGTTGCGGGGGGCAGGGGGCAACCATATGATTATGGGATTAGACCTTTCGGCCTCACTCTCCAGCCTTTGGGGAGGAGAGGAGGCTGGAGATTGAGTTAACTACCTATGGGCAATGACGGAATCAGTCGTGCCTATGGACCCTGCGTAAAAACCCCGCATAGGGGCTTGGACAGCTTCTTGGCTGGTGAACACGTGGAGATGCTGAGAGCTGGGGTGGGGGCGCATGCGCAGCAAGGGCGCATGCGTTCCAGGCCCTTCCCGCACTGCTGGTCCAACGCATCTCTTCCACTTGACTGCTCCAGAGTCGCATCCTTTATAATGAACAGGGAAGAGCAAGTAAAGCGCTTTTCTGTGTTCCGAGAGCTGTCCCAGCAAACCCTTGAACCCGATGAAGGGGTTGTGAGAACCCCCAATGAATGGACAGTTTGTCAGAGATACGGATGACATCCTGGGACTTGCCAATGGCATCTAAAGAGCACGCAGTCATGGGGGACTTACTTAGCTTTAACCAGCAGGGTCTTTGCTAACTTCAGGCAGTTAGTGTCAGACTTGAGTCAGTGTCCGCCAAGCATGAGGGAATTGCCAGGTGCGGGAAACCACACATTTGGTGTCAGAATTGTTGTGAGTTCAGAAACTGACCATAGCGGAAAACAAGAGGTTTTTGTTTTAGGTGCGAACAGTCTACATAAATATCCTGCAAAGGAGGGTAACTAGACTGTGGTTTAGAGAAACTGAAATGTATGCACAGTAAAAAAAAAAAGAAGAAAAGAAATAGATCTATATGTATACTAAAATAGAATTAAGTTCCAAAATATATTTTTGTGAGGAGAAAATAAAACAATGAGAAAGACACACCTGGCACGAAGCCATTTGTATTTTCTAAAAGACCACACACAACCACACTATGTATTTCCTCCAGGTTCATACAGACTCGTAGAAAGACACGAGAAAGGACCAGCCCGCAGCATGTAACCGTGACTGTCACTGGAAACATTGAAGCGGGCATTGAAATGGAAGATATAGGTCAAAAAGGGCTTCAACCAAGTTGGTCATCAGTGTTACAAAGAGAATATAATGAAAACATTAAATCACAAAGGATATTTAGAGTTACACGGAGAAAAACAGAGTTTAAAATTAAGTAGCAAAACCAACAATAGCAACAAAACCCCCCTTTTTCCCCTATTATATAGCCTTTTATATTGTCTCTGCAGATCATGAGAAAAATGTTTTAAAAGGAAGCAACAATGTTTACATTGATTCCAAGCCTGGCAGTCACACAGAAGTTAGATTCCTTCTCAGTTATACAGCCCTTTGTCTCTGGTTTTAAATTTCAGCTCTCAGCCTCTTAAAACAAACGTCAGCCTCCTGGGTTCGGTTTTCTGCTTGGTCAGCGAATCAAGGCCTTGGGCTCTAGTTTAACAGAACACAGGGGAGGTTTCTGCCTGTACGGTCAGGGAAAATCTTCGCAGACACGGTTCCCTCGGCCCGAGCTGGTGTCCGGCTTCTTTAGCTTATTAATGTGGAACGCTGACTACAGAGTATCGTGCTGACTTTGAAGAGCAGCCAGCACTTTCTGGGTTGGGATTTCTGGCTTCCTGCACAATTGGAAGTATGACCCTTCAATGAGCTGTATCATGGTGTTTCCTGCCTGACTTGCACACGACATTGCAAAAATATGATGAATCAAAAGAACTTCCCAGCCTCTGTTGGAAATGTGCTCCCGTGACAGCCCTTTGGGCTCCCATGCGGATCTGTTAAGCCTGCAGCAAATTGCATGTTTGACACAGGAAGGACTCGGGCACTCGAAAAGGGGGTGACGAGGCAGGATGTGGAGACCGGGCTGCCTGCGTGTTTGTGCCATTTTGGTAGGACATTAGGGACTACTTGGAGTGTGTACTTAACCACTGCTGATGACATTGGATATATTTGAAAAGTTGATGTGAATTCCTCATGGGCCTTATTATTCCATGAGGTAGGTGGGAGCAACAGTCATCTCTTTCTCTTGCTTTATGATCCAAACAACCTTGAATGTCATCACGGCAGAACTGCTTTGCATTACATTTCTTTCTGAAGCTCCTAGTGCCTTGGAGAAGTTTCACTTTTCAGAAAGAAGAAATGAGTAGTGCCCTACTGTCCTGGGACTTTTGTCCAGCTTGCAATTTGAGGGTGGATCACTGGCAATGTTCAGTACACTTGGCTTGGAAAGACCATGGCCCGAACTTCCCAGAAATGAGGAACAAGGAAATGTTGAAGTTGGCCTTCTAGACTTTCTTTTTAAAAACAGTGATAATAACTTATTAATGAGACTTAAGAATGCTTACAGCTGGTAAAAACTGTGGATTAACGTAGGAATTAAAGACATTTCTGAGGCACTCCATGTTTCAGGGTGAAGCTCACACATGTATACCAGACAAGCCTCTCTTTTCCTTATTTTGAACTTGGCCAAGACTGTCCACAACCCTCTCACTCCTGGTTGCCCTGATCGTTCCACCAAGTCCCTTAAATACCACGTGCTCATCAGTGCACCCAGAGCTCACACCCACGCTGCTTACCTCGCCCTCAGCTGCTCTTGCATCCAAACCCAGGACCTGCGCAGGGACGATGCCTGCGTGCTCACTGTGCTCCAGAAAATGCGTGGTCACATGTATCCAAACATCCGCATGGCATTTCTAAGCACTCACACGACTTCTGCCCCAGAAGAGGGTGATTTGCAGAACTCTCCTCTCCCTCTGACACTGTCACAGCACATGTATTTGTACAAGTCCCCACAGTGAGAGGCCACACAGGCCTGGCCCTGGGGCCTGGCAGATCTGGGGGACCGCAGCTGACCGGGTGGTGGCCCCGCGTGGCCGGTGTGGGCTGTGAGTGGTCAGTGAGTCAGCGGCAGACAGTGAGTAGTCGTTGGGGCTGAAAAGTGGGAGCAAAGCAAGGAGGTGACAGCCCGGTGAACACAGGGACGGGCCAGGGAGCAAGGCCTGTGCTGAGAACCGGGCTGCCAAGTCCAGAGCTGGGTTCATGTTTTTTGTTTGTTTGTTTGTTTGTGTTTGCTGTTTGGCATATGGACTGACTGAGCTGAAACTAAGGAAAACACAGTAAAGACAAAACCCAAAATGTAGTGACTGAGTGGATGACCCGAAATTGCCGGAATGGCTACCTACGCCCACAAGTGTGTGTATAGTTTAGCGTCTCTCCCGATGGCTATTGTAAAGCAGGGAGTATGCTTCTCTCAAGGAAAACCATGTGTGTCGGTCCGTGGTTTGTATGGCGTCACTGTTGAATGATGAGCTGAACAAGACGTCGGTGTTTGGGGGTTTATCTTTGATGATTTTCCGTGGTTCAATCGGCTGAAGTTGGTGAGTTGCTGTTCTGAAAAAGTTTTTGAGCCAGAGCTACTAAACTCTTTAGTTTCCAATTCCAAATAGTCTGGTGACTTTTTAAATTTAGATCATAAAAAAATCAAAACTGGGAGTTTTATTTCGTCATCTCTTTTTTAATTTCATTTTGATTTTTTGATTTTAGAGAGAGGGGCAGGGAGGGAGAAAGAGAGGGAAGGAAATGTCAATGTAAAAGAGAATCATCAATTGACCGCCTTCCGTATGTGCCCCAACTGGGGACCAAACCTGCAACCCAGGCATGTGCCCCGCCCTGAACTCTAGCTGGCCGGCCTTTTCAGTTTACAGGACGACACCCAACCCACTGAGACACACGGCTCGGGCTCACACACCAGCTGGGCTCCCCTCTCTTGATGCCCTGCATACAGTCTCCATTCATCCGTTCCTTCTTTGGTGGTTTATTTCATTGAGCATCCAGCAGGGGTCTCTAACCCACAGCCCGCAGGCCACCTGCGGCCTAGCATGGCTATGAATGCGGCCCAACACAAAATTGTACATTTACTTAAAACCTTTTTTTTTTTTTGCTCATCAGTTTTCATTCATGTTTGTGTTAAATGTGTGGTCCAAGACAACTCTTCTTCCGGTGTGGCTGGGAGACGCCAAAGGGATGGACACTCCTGATATAGTGTGCAGAGCCCTCAAGGATACACAGAAAAAGGGTTGAATGTATTCAACAGAAGACACAATCTGTTAGATTTCTATCTTGTTGTGATACTTATTAGCAGTGAGCTTTTTTGTTGATTCTTTTTACCTGGAATCTCGGCTTTGATGTTGATACAGTATCAGGAACAGATGGGGGTGGCTTTGAATCATAACTGGTTTTCAGCAGGTGTCCGCACTGTCCTTAAGAGCGACTTTTTCTTTTGTTCTAGAATTATAGGCTCTTGTTGGATTTCATGTTCTCAATGAAGCTAATCTCTGTTTATGTTAGAGCTCATTTAAAAATGTAACTAAATACAAATTCAGTTTTGTTTGCATTTAACTTCTTATTTACATAACCAAAATAATTTGCTTTGACCCTTCTATTTTTTCCCATAATTATTGTGTTGGATTATGTTTTTTAAAAGGAAGTAACTCCATTTTTTCATTTCCTTTACACCAAAAAATAATAATAAATTATATTTTTAATTTAAAACAAACATATCAAGATTTGAGATGAAGGTCACCATGTTCCCATGAATTTTAAGAAATTTGCAGCAATCTATTGTCTTTTTAACAAAAAGAGCCTTTATGAAACTGCTAATAATTGCACTTTTGTTCCGTATTACATATTTCTTAAAATATGGCTGCTTTCCAAATACCACAAATAGTTTAAATCATTTTATCTGTTAGAGACCTTTTCTAATGGAGTCACTGGTTAATTCTGAAAGCAACTCAGGCTTGGAGTTTATAATCTTTTAAATTATGACTCCAAGTTTGCTAAATTAAAAAGAAAATCACAGTTGGCTCTTTCTCGATCGTTTAGAACTTGGCAATGAAACGGAAACTGCGAGCAGTTACTTCAGCTGCACTTGAAACCACAGTTTGAACTTGAGCTCTTCTACAAAACACACATCACAGCCCAACTTATAGTGTTTAAAAGAAAACAAAAAACTTTGTGTGTGTAGAAAGTTTCCCACCTCACTTTCTCTTGGATCTACTGGTCATTTTTTATCTGGCGAATAAATTGCCAATATTTTATAATCTTTTCTGTGGGGTTGATTTAACCCATGAGAATGGATCCTTACTATTCTACATGCCAAAGCATTTTGGCATTCGGTTCACTTCTCTCCCTGAGAAATACTTCAGTTCAGGGCACTTCAGAGAACTCTGTGGGCATCGATGGGACCCAGTGGGATGAGATTTTGTTACCTTATGAGTATTATATGGGTAAGCGGAGCATTTGAGGGATCAACCATTCTATCCATGGAAAGAAGAAATGTGTTTGTAAGCAGGTGGAAGAGAAGAGTGAAAAAGAGGGCTGAGGAAGAAGATGAAGAGGAAGGACATATATTTGTTCCAATAAATGAGAGGAGAATTTGCAGTATAAACAAAATCTTAGTCTTGCTTCTTAATATGTTTCACTCTACTTTGGGGTACGGCCCCCAGCTTCCCTACCCTGTTGCTTTTTTCCTGCTTCAGCCCTCCCCCTTTTATTTTTAAACAAATTTCCTCTTTGCTGGCCTTTCATCTGCCTCCCTCAGTGTGTCAGTCCTACCCACAGTCGGTCATTGTCCCCACGGATGCCTCCTCGCCATGAATGCTCACAGCTTTCTTGGCCGCCCTGCTGGCTGCTCACCAAGGAAGGACAGAGGGTCTTTCTCTGGGTGTGCGGAGACGTGTGTGTGTGTGTGTGTGTGTGTGTGTGTGTGTGTGTGTGTGCCGAGCTGGCCCGCCCCAGCTCTTCTACTAAGTCTCATGCTTTTCCCTCCCTGACTTAGGACCACATGATCGTGCGGCCCTTTCTGGTTTTGAATGTTCTTTCTGTGCCGACAGAGAAAGAGACGACCTAATGTGCGCGCTGGCTTCCGTAAGGGGCAGCCTGGCAGATGTGCAGCAGAGGGAAGCCAGAGCCTACGAGCAGGTGAAGCAAGCTGTGCAAATGACCGAGGAGGCCAACTTTGAGAAAACCAAGGCAAGTCCAGTAACTAAGGAAAGGCAGGCCGTGATTGCTCTCCCCCTCCCCCGACTATTTCTTTACTTATTCTCCTATAACTAAACGCTTCCTTCCAAACACACAAAGTGCAGACCAATCTGTTAATGCTGACTTTGCTAAATGAAACACAATTTGCTATTTGGAGAGTTCTTATTCCTTTGCCAACACTCTTATTATAGCTCTATTCAGCGAACATTGTACCATGAGGCGAAGTACTTTGAGAGGTTTGCATGCTTAATCTTTTTATTTGCTGATAATTTGTAATGCAGTTAAAATCTTAACACCCCTATGTGTATGTTCATGTGTGGCTAAAGGCAAATGTTTTTTTCTCTGCACACAGGAAATGCTGAGCACACACCCAAATATGCCACAGGTGGTAATACATGTGCCTTTGAAGCACCCTTAGCTAGGAGTCGGGGCCCCTGAGCACTAGGTCAGACGTGTGTACTGGGAACGGTGACGAGAGTGGTTAACCTCAGCGGCTGGTCGGTGTGCTGGGAACTCAGAGTAATGTAGGGGATTGCTGTCCCCAGACAAGATGAGACAGACTCCTTAGTATGGCCATCTGGGCCTGCCCCGGTGCAGCCTAACCCCAGCTCTTCTACCCTGACCTCTCATGACACTCTTTCCCTGGGACCTGTGCTCTGCCTTTCCGCCCTGTGTTCATCTGTGGAATGTCTGTTCAAACCTGTGAGGCTCAGCCCAGGTAGCCATGTTCCTCGGCCTCTTCTTGTTTGGACAGGTCTCTTCCTCCTGTGCTCCTGCTGACACTGTGTGTGACCCGTGTTTCCTTGTCTGTCTCCACCAGACGACCTTGGAAGTCAGGTCTCTGACAGCTGTCACTGTGTCATTGTTCACTTGGTCATTTAGGTAAAAATTGCGTTATAGGTGTGTGTTGAATTAAAGTAAATTATTAGCTTTCACTATGAATTTTTGCAGTTAGTAGTTTTTAAAAAAGTAATGGTTAAGAACTAGAGAGGCTATTATGGAATCTATAGCATTTTTTAAATTAGTAATAATGCAAGGATGATTTCTAAATACTTTACAAGATTCAGGGCAAGCCTACTAGTTTTATCTCTAAGGTATGTTAAAATACACTAGTAGTTTTGCTTTCTGGGAGTAAAAACTGAGATATGTACATATTTTAATTTTAAAACCAACCACTTTATCAGTGAGCTATACAATACTTTGTCCTTATAGTTAGTTCCTTGACATTTCCGCCATCTAGTGTTCACTTTTGCAAATTGCATGCAAGTAGAAGGAATTCTTTTTTATTATATATTTACATTTATAGTGGCAGTGAAAACACCTGAGAAATTTATAAGAATAAATGTATAAACTAGAAAATAATAATCCCATGCCTATATATTTCATTGTAAAACTACTTTGGGTCAAATTTTTACTCATCCACTTTCTAGGTTTTTTATTATAAACAAGTTACTTAATGTCTCAAAGCCTTAGTTTCTTTAACTGAATGGTAAGAACCAGGTAAAATTTAGTGAGGGAGTTAAATAAATTCTGTATGTGCCCTTTAGTAAAGCATCTGGCACATAGTAAGTGCTCGAGAAATGCTTTTGTTTTTCTTTGAAAATTGTAAGTCATTGTAAGGGAGATAACTTTAGGAGGAAAAAATTAACCTGAACATAAATGAGGGGGAAGAGCTAGAGATTTATCAGTGACACCTTTGTTAAGTTCTAAGAGGAAAAGGTGATTAACTGGGCTGTAGACCTGAAGGCTTCTTTTCCGGAGGGAAATTGTTCCCTCCAGCAGGAAGTTACCATCAGCATATATAAATGAGATAATCTTCCACTAAAAGAATTTTTTTCAAAAATACCAACCCAGTAGGTTGAATAAATGCCCCAAAGCCTTTTCTTCTTTTCCAGGATCTAAATTATTCTTTTTCCTGGATTACAACAGAATCAGAAAGGCAGGCATGAGAACCCTGAATTTTTGTTAAAAATACTGAATATTTGATTGCAGTAACAAGCATAGATAATAATGTTCCTTGATATGTACATTATCTACCAGAAAATAAAGATAAATGATAAATATCTCGAAAGTGAGGGATAAGGAAGAGACTGGTTGATAGGTTTCTGGTAAGCAAGAATTTATAAACTAAATATCAATCATTCGTGCTATTCACAAGTTAAATGCTTAAAACATGTTGGTAACCATTTTTATTTCTGTGGGCTTTATTTCCTGAAATTAATGACATTTTCATATGTCTTAAAGCTTACATTCGTAAGTGTGAAAAGCATGCTTAATTATGAAGTCTATCGCAAGGATTTCTGGGGCCCTGACCCTGGTAGTGGGGAAGGGCATTTCTGTGTTTTATAATAGGTTTCCTATTTTAAAAATTGAGTTGACTAGATATAAATTTCTCTCAGAAAATGCTCTGGCCCTATTAAGATAGTAATGCATATTCTTTGGTTTAAAGAAGCCAGCACTGGGAATATCAAGAATGACCACACGAAATGACCACAGATAAAGAAATTTCCCGGCAGGGAAAAGGTCCCTCAAGGACTGAGTCTGCTGGGTGGGGAGAAAGTCTAGTTTCTTAGCTTCTCATGACCTACAGCCATTTCCACCCTTTCCAGGGTTGTGCTGGGTGCGGGCGGGGGGGGGGGTAGGGTGGGGCGGGAGGAGCCCCCACCTGGGCAACTGCCGGGAGAAATGGGAGCCGCGGGCCGGAAATCACTTGGTCCCCCTTGGTCACCTATCAGTCCATCATTTTTGACCATTTGGTGACCCAGCCTGTGGGAATTTGGTTACGGCTTTAGTAAATGGATAGGTGAATATAATTAGGGCATACTGAACCAAATGGGGTTCTGGAAACTAGGAGTGGGAACCCAGGAGTTAAAAAGAGAAAGCTTTAATAGAAATGGTGTGTATTTATTCAGTAGGACCAAATCTTTCTAGTGAGTGATATCCATGGTAAGATCAAATTGTTACAGAATAGATGAGAGGGTGGATGTATGATATACTATTACCAGAAGGAACCACGTTTTTCTCCAGGGTCCCCCCCCCCCACTAGGTTTGCTATTCCTGCTGCCAGAGGAAAGACATCTCTCAATGGGGAGATTTGTGAAAAGGAAAAGAATTATTTATTTAAAAGCTATACAGACTTAGATTAGTGGCTTAATGTCTTCATTAAAACACTATAAGGTTTTTTTTTTAATACCCACAAATGCACACAGCCCTTCCTTCTCCCTCCGCCCAGTCCCTGGTACCTTATCTCAGGAAAAGAAGTAGAAGTCCGTGACTCAGGCTCCCGGCACCGTCAGCTGTGTCACCGCCAGGATCTCCAGTTAATCCAAAGCCATGTGGCACCTTCTCATGGCCCACCAGCAAGAGTCCTTTCACCCCTTTTCTTCCAGGCAAAGATTTTCCTACTTCCTGAGCCACATGGCAAAAGGGAGCACCCCAAAGCTGCGGGGCCCCCACTCTGACAAAACCACATAGTTCTGCCCCAGGTGTGGCTGCCGCGCCTGGGTTTAAATCCCAGCGCCAGTCTTCCTCTGCAGCCCCATTTCCGACTCCTCCCACAATCAGTTACACCTGCCAGCACTCCCACACCCTCCCAGCTTTACTGGGCTGCCATAGTGGGTCTGGGCAGGCGTGGCCCCATGGTGTGGAGCCAGTCATCTCCAAGCTCTCACACAGGCGCCGTAACCAGGGGTGGTTGCCTCCCAGTTACATCTTGGATAGAAGTCACTTCCATCCCCCTGGCTCAAAGCCACAGCTATTTAACACATCTATGAAACCAGTTAAAGGCTATAGATATGTTAAATGCCCATGCCAGAGGTTAGCTACAAAGCTGTTGCTGTACAACACAGCTCTGAATGGCCCTGCTCCATGTGTCCCATCTCCCAGCTCAGACTGGTGGGGGTGAGGACATCATATATATTTTTTATAATATTTCCTGGACACCTTGAGTCCTGGACCCCATTCCAAACCCCTATTTGGGGCCCCCCCTTGGCTGCACCCTGTTACAAAATCACTTTTTTATTTCCCAGCATTATTAAGCACTGGTATTTTCTTCATTGTGACCAAGCATCTATATTAAAATCAAAATGAATAAAAGTAAATGCTATATCATAATATGGAATCACTGGTCACACACCAAAAAACAGTTTTTAATCTGATGTCATAATTTGGTGTGTCATTACTGCTGGCTAGTCCTAATAAGTCCCACCACAGAGAAGGCCAACCTCAAAGCCAAGGCTCCACGATGATTTTTTTAAAGTCATTTACAACGTCTTGCTGTATACCTTGTGCTTTATATCATCCTATCTTGGCATCAGGCCTCTTATTTCATCAGGACCATTTACTCTTCCCTGAACTGAGGGAATTTTTTGAAGGGGCTGGTTGCTCTCACGTTAGCCTGATCTTTAGTTCCATTTGCAGCGTCCTTTCTGCTGTCTACACTGAAGGATGTCGATTGCTGAGTTTTTGTTCAATTAAAAAATCTTCGGATCGGATATGTTGATTTACACTCAATAGTAATTTTATTCTTTCATACCAGTATTCATTATACTGGTATTCATTATATAAGCAAAAGTTATGGACACTTTTATTATGTTCATATAAAGTATTTTTCACAAGAGCAATTGTACTCTGAAGCACAAAAGTCTCTAAATATTATACACTCCAGGGGCTTACATTTTAGAAATTACACTTTTCATTTGTCCTCAAATCTCATTTTAACTTTTCTTTTAAAAACATTCTCAACTCGAATTGGCCCTGGGACTAGTTCCCTACGGGCACCAGGTGTTTAGTAGCTGATACGTAAACACCTTTTCCAGGAGCACAGAAACTTTCCGAAAGAGTTCGAAAGAAACTGTGGTTGAGTCCTTTGCAGACGAGGAGAGCCCACTCAGCCCGGATGGGCATCGTCTGTTCGCACGGTACCTTTCACCAGCGGGAAGCAGGGCCGTCCGTGCCTGCCCACGGCTCACAGTCCCTGCCCACAGAGATGGCTGCCGTGTCCGTGAACAGCGGACGCGACTGTGAGACCCGAAATCACGCAGTACCTGTGTCACGGAGCATCTGCACTTCTTCCTTCAGGGGAAACAGGACAGGCGAGGTGAATGCGCTGTGTGCGAGCCGCCGGAATGACCCCGACACACCTCGGAGGGACTCGGCTTTGCTCTGAGAAGCAACCTCATTCTATTGGGATTTTTTAAATTGGGATTTTGGAAGTCATCATTTATTAGTGGCTATTATATATAGACATGTTATGAGTATAGGCAAGAGGAAATTATAGATTTTTTACTTCTGAGATTGCAGTGGGAAATTTAGACTAATGGTCAGTTATGGATTTTTAAATTACTAGAAATGGAAGATGACAGTTTCCTGTTATAAAACTAAGTGGTAAATGCTGTTTTGAGTCTTAACTTTTGATTACTCCTAATTTTTATTATAGTTATGTGTGTGAGGGGAGTGAACGAAGTTTTATTTATAAAGAAATCTGATTATTAAATAACATTAAAAACAGAAGCTTCTGTGTAATGATAAATTTGACACCTCATTTAAAAATCCTTATCTGTTTATTATTTAAAGTATTCAAATAACTCTGATCACGAGCAAATGGAAAGTCAGTTGAATTGGATAGAACCATATTTCAAGTCGTGTAAATGTGACATATACTTGAAAGTCCTAGAACACTTTAGTTTTTGGATCCCCTTTTCGGAATTCTTACTCATCAGCGGCCCTCATCACGGCCCACTACCTGAATTTTGTTAGTGTATAAGTTAATGGGACCTTAGTTATGAAAATGAAATATGAGAATGAATGTATGTTATATCAGTAAACAGTATTGAATAATGTAAAATGTTTGAATTGCCTTTCAGACTTGATACTGCATTTTAACCATTTTAAATAAAAGTGAGGCTTCGTTGTCTCATTTCCCCCTTATTTTTCTGACTTCTGAGCCCCCGCTGACTCTGCCCGGCAGGCTTTAGTCCAGACCGAGCAGCTGAAGCACGAGCTGGAGAGGCAGACGGAGCGACTCGGGAAGGAGCTGGCAGCCCAGCAGGAGAAAAGGGCCTCAGAGAGGGCGGCCATGCAGGAGGAGCGCACGGCCGAGAGGGAGGACGCGAGGGCCCAGGTACCCCTTCCGCTCGTGGGCCATGTCTTGGGAGAAGGGCTTGGGGCTGCGCGTGTCCTGATGGTTCTGGGGCTGCGAGCCCACACTGAACTTTGTATTTTAAAAGTCACGTTTTTTAACATAACTTAGAGTTCACAAAGTGTTTCTATTTTCCATGTGTTTATTCATGAATTAGAGTCTCTGACCTCTGCAAATTGAATTAATCCATCTGGTTCCCATAATCCACCTGAAGGCCCAGGTGGCTGGAGCACCGGAAGGGAGAGACACGCTAGGGGGACATGCAGTTGGTGAAGCGGGAGGGGCCAAGTCACGCGTGGCCTTAGCGTCCATGGGAAGGACTTGGAGTTTTATCCAGAAACTGGTAGAAAGCCACTGAATGGCTTCCAATTAGGCAGCGTCACGATGCCATTTGTTGTTCATAAAACTCATTCTGTGATAGGCTGGCGGGAGAACCAGAGTAAATGGGTGGGGATGAGGCAGCAGGTAACTCCAGTACGTCCAGGTGGGAAGACACGGCGTCTTGGACCTGTTTCCCAGGACTGTTTCAGGTCACGGTTATTCATCCTCAGGTTCTCCCCTGGACCACTTTCCCCTCATTCTCAGCAGAGAATAGCTTCTAACAAAGAAAACAGAAGCTATTAGGTGGTAACTGCCTCACCTATGTATCTTCCCCTCACCTCTGCCTTGAAGTAAAATTTCACCCCCATCCCAACCCTGTTGGGGTGGGAGAGGCTTGGTCCTGATCCTTCCCTTTCCTCTGGGTCCCCTTCTCTTCCGCCACCTTAGGGGCCTCACTCTTAGTCCAGCACCCCCCCCTCCAAACTTTAAAATGTCCTTCACCTTAGCCTCTTTCTTACCCAGGAAGATGACTCTCCACCTTCTCTCCCCTATTGGGAGAAACGTTCTTGCTTCTCATCTCGTGGTTCTCAATCTTGGCTTCACAGGGATTCTAGAGCCCCCGTGGCCCAGCCAACGCTCCAAACCCACTGCGTGGAAATAGCTGAGGGGAAGATCGGGGTCAGTGTTATTTACAGTTGGCCGGTGAGCCCAACTGTAGCCAGGTGTGGAAGCCACCCGAGGAATTCCACACCCCTCCTTGCTCTTCCCCTTCATAGCCCTGTTTCTGTAAGGATTTGTCCTCAAAGACATGTCTTTATTGTCCTACCTCCGGGTGCCCTTCAGCCATGACATTTCAGCATCGGTGCCTACGACAAGGAAGTTAGCGCTGCTCTGAAGACCTTCTCGTGCTGTTTTGGTGAATATTTTTTCATTCTTATTCTCCTGGAAAGCTTTTCTTTCTTGTTTTCTTGGAGTCTATACTCCTGATTTGAGAGAATGATGCTATGTGCCTTTTCGGTTGCTCTGAGCATCGAGTGTCTTTGACACAGTGAAAGTGACAGTTGGAGAGAAGCTAGGAAAGGCATCCAGGACTTCGCAGGCGCTATTGATTCAGCTCCTTTTAGCACCACTGTGGCTTTAATTCCAGGTATATGTGGCGCTGACTTCTAAATCTTCAGCTCTCTGGCGAGCTCCCGAGCCCGCCTCCTTCCCTTCCCTTCCCCGCCAGTGGAGCCACCATTCACCCGGCTTCCCAGCTCCCGAGTCTTGCTGCCACCTGTCTCCTCCCCCTCCCTAACCCTACGTATCATTGAGTCACCGAGTTCTGGAAACTTGGGCCCCCAGGAATTAGGTTGCCTGTCTCTGAGGCCCACCCTCCCGTGGTTCCATAGCCCGAGCCCTGCCCTTCCTTCCAGCTTGGCCTCCTCCCCAGCTGTTCTCCACCCCACAGCCAGGATGATCTTTTTAGAAGAAACATCCCACTAGGTCAGGCTCTTGCCTCGTGCTTCATGGTTCTTTCATGTCCCCCTGCAGCCCCTTGGCTGACATTTAGGGTTGTTTAGTGTAGCATAACGATTCTACCTCTTTCTTTCCTTCTTTGGCTTGCCAGTCTCACCCCCCTTCCCCTGTCTTCATTGCCGCCATCCTGATCCACTGGTACTTTCTCAGGCATGCACGGGCGCATTTTTGGTCCAGGATTTTGCCTGTGCTTTGCACCCTGCCTAGAGGAAGCTTCCTCTCCCCTCGCCGATGGGCCCTCCAAAGTTCTTCGTGACCCCATCTTCGCTCACAGCCTCCCTGAGATGGACCGGGGGCCTCTCTCGTGGGCTCCCATAACGCAGTTTATTGCCGGTTCTTGTCCAATGGTGTCTCCCCTAATTTGCTAGGAGTCCCTTGAGTGTGTGGTCTCTCAACATCCTCGTAGCTTGGGGCGTTCCTCTCATGTAAAATCTGCTCCGTGCATTTTTGTTGAATGACTGAGTGTCATATCAGAGGCACGAATTAAGTGCCGAGGGTTCAGATGATCAGAATGGATCCCTGCCTGTAAGAGATGACGAAAGGCTGCGTGGAGAAGGCGGCCTCTCAGCTGAGCTTCAAAGACTAGGGAGGAGTTAGACGAGCAGGTATGGGAAGGAATAGGGGCCTCGTGAGTAAAGCAAGGAGGGAGGTGGATCGGGAACCCAGTGTCAGCGTGTGTGAGAGAGAAGAGTGTCAATTCTGAAGCCCAGCTGTGGTTCCCACCTAGGAGGGTTTTCTTTCTGGGCTGTTTAGAGGAAACCTTAACCTTGCAGGGTAGTTGTATTGTATAAAAATATCTCTTGAGAATTCCTGCTAAGAAGGGACAAAGGCCGAAGTGCACCAGGCAGTGAGTGTCCCAGGTGCTGTCACAGGGAACAGGGACTCCTTTCTGTACTGACAGTTGTTTCGTGGCTAAAGGTGAAGGGCGATGTATTTCTGAGTCTGAGTCATCTGTTTTGCCCCCACGAAGTCGTGGCTGTCATTTGACCTCAAGGCCCGGCCCTAAATGCAGGTGCCTGAATGAAGGGCCGGACGGGGTGCCAGCTGTCCCAGCCAAGGGCAGAAAGTGGCTTTGGAGTAAAGGGCTTTGGGGTGGAATCTGAACTGACCTTCCTGTGACCTTGAAGAATTCGGTGGACCTCTCCAAATGACAACAGAGCCAATAATGGAGTTCATCTGCTCGAGGAATTGATTGGATTAAATAAGGTCCTGTTTTGAAAGCGCCTAATATAATACCTGACTTAGAGGGGACATTTAATAACTCTCAGCTTGCGGCGGTCGTCACTCTTACTCCAGAGGGGAGAGAAGTAGTCTTGTTAGACAGATTCCTCAGATCCTCGTGTGAGGAAAAGCGGACAGATTTGAATAGAAAGCTCGGCTTTACTTTTTATTTATTAGCTTGGGCAAATTACTTAATTTACTGAATCTCATTTTTTTCAATCAAAAATTAATCCAATATAATTCTGTCTCCGAGGGGATTAAGAGAGAATGCATATCATACTGCCTAGCGCAGGAAGTTAATGGAATCAGGAGACGGGCCAATTAATCATAATGTTGTAAGCATTCTGGAGTTAGTGCTAGAGCAAACGCCCTGCTTTCTTAGCAAAAAGGAAGGCTTGCTTGCAAGATTTTTAGATTTTTCTCTCTTTCCTTTTATTATTATTTTTCTTTCTTTCTCCTTTTTAAAAACAATTTCATTTGCGTGGCAAGCTCTAGGCAAGCCGATGTCTTCCACCTGGACAGGTTTTGAGTCATTCCCCCACGAAAGGTGCTTGCTCTGAGTTCACTTGTGGTCTTCCTCAATGGTCCTTGGTTGCGCCGAGCCCCTCGGGTCTGTTGTTTCAGTCAGTCATCCATCATCTCTTCACCGAGTGCCCCCTGCATGCATTGTCTCACTTGGTCCGCTGGATAACAGCCCTCTGCTGGAATCCCTAGTTCTTGTGCCTCGTACAGGGAGAACCACTTTTTCCACGGCCAGCGTGAGGGGGGCAGCTTCGGGGTAGAAATTGCTGTCAAGCTCTCCCAACCTGGGTGTCCTTGTCTCCTGCTTGCCCCTGTCAAAGTGTAAAGGACTTACCTGATGTCACTGGCCTGGACACCCAGCAGTGTGGCAGCTGTCCGTGGCACTGCTGTCTCTGCAACAGATGTGTGTGAGGAGCCCCCGCAGGGTAATGCTGACTTCCAGATGGCGGGCGTGGGGAAGAGAAGGCAAGACGACGGGAGGGGAGGCCTCGGGAAGTGGGCGGCGGGAGGGAGCAGGCAGGTAATGGGCAGGGGAGAGGTGACGGCTGGCAGAGGGCAGTCAAAGGAGTGTGACTTGTTGCCAGCCTTACAACAGAAACTGACGCGGCATTTACAATGAGCACGCCGAATAGTTACTCCAGAAACCACGCAACGCTAGTATGTTTCCCATAAGATATGTCTCTGCATGAGTAGTGTATAGTTTTCAGTAGCTGGCAATTAAAGTTCGTTGCTGCTGTAGAATTCCAGAAAGGCTTTAATGACACATCCATAACATAGATATTCATGAACTTGAATTTGTATCTTAAGGGAATTAAATTAGTATATTTGATTTGTTTCATTTAACCCCTTTTGACCTTTAACCTTAGGTTCCGATTTTAATGTGCATAAGGATGGTTTGTAGCAAAAGTGATTTTATGTACAAATTAGATTTGTAGCCAGCTTTTTGATGATAAGGACATACAAACAAGTGTAAGTCAAACAGGCAATTCTCCACTCTCCCCAGAAAAGTTATTGCAACTACTATCTAAATTAGAAAATAGCCACAGGGCTCATTATTTTCACATGTGTTAGCATCAGTTGTATATTTCAAAGGCAATCCTGATTTTATCACAAAGTTTTATTCCTGAGTTTAGTTGTAAAACTAAATCTACACCCACAGCAGTGCACTATGGCAGAATTCAAGTGTTACTATTTCAAGTTCATGATCAGCTCTCCTTTTAACAGGTTAGAAACTGATAGATATTCCTATATGTTTTGCTCTGGGGCAAGGTAGCATTTTTCTTCATTTTAAAACTACTAATACAAGTAAGAAATTAAGAGTCTAGAAAATTTTTACTAACCGGGAAGAATGAAAAGCAGTTGCGAACGACAGAACTGTGCAGGTTAAATCTAAGCCCTAGAAAGTGTCTCTAGCCCTGAGAAGAAAAGCTGAGAGCCCGGTGTCCGTAGTCCTTCAGGAAGGCCACAGACGGTCATTATCACATTCCTCATCGAACGTTCGGTGCCCTTGCGGAATGTGGACGTTCTCTGAGGGACACAGACAGACGGTGGGAAACCGGGGTGGGACGTGCTGTGCTGGAGGCACGCAGAGCCAGGGTGTGACAGGGGCACACGGAGGTGGTTGTAGGCCCACGTGCCACAGTGCTGGTCAAACCCTAAACCGCCAGCGAGTGTGGCATGGACAGCGACCAGTGGGAATGGGTGCCAGCCGCAAGTGGCAGGCAGGACCGGCCCAGTGCACGTTCGCTCAGCTTCGGCCCTGAGTCGCTGCAGGGGCTTCTGCTCGGTGCTGGGAGCCAGGGGTCAAAGAAGCCTCCTGGAGAGGGGGGGATGGTGGCTGAGCGGAATCCTGTGGGAGCAATGGGGCCAGCTCAGTGGTGGTAAGGCTGGGGGACTGCAGAGAGCCCCCTCCTTGGCAGTACGGGCGATCCTGGCTCACAGACCACCAGCAGCTCTCACGGAAGATGTCTGCCTCTCCAGCTTTCCTAATCAGGAAAGCTGTAGAGCTTTCCCCTCTGGATGGGCGAGGGGCTTAAGAGTCCTGATTCCCTGACACCCCCTCTGAAATCCATTCACGTCAGTCTCTTCCGTAATGTACACAGGCGTCTGCTGGCATCGTGGAGGTTCACCCAAACCTTTGATGTTATCACCATGTTATATGTTTTCCAAGATGAGGGAAGAGGCCAGGGAGGTACACGTTTAAGCCACGCAGAACAGAGAGTTGAAGAGGTCAAGTGCACATACCCGACCCACAGAGAAACGACCTTCCAAGAGCTCAGTGGCTAAGGCGCTAGGAATTCAACACCCTTTTAATATTGAGTTTGCCAAATGCCATTGTCACTTAAGACTTTTATCTCCTCTTACAGATGTTGACTCTGTCTCAGAATATTGCTCAACTCGAGGCCCAGGTGGAAAAGCTCACAAGAGAGAAGGTTTTGGCTGTTAACCAACTAGAGGACATCCAAAACCAGCTTGCTTCTCGGGAAATGGATGCCACCAAGGTACGAAGAAAGGTTTTGTGGGCCCAGCTTCCACTGCCCCACTGCGCTCCACCCAAAGGAAGATTTTAGTTTAATAATTACTTAAATATTTTTGACACATTTTCCCTAATGCACAGAGCCCACAAAGAAGTTTGGTGCAGAAAAGTTTTGTTATTCCAAGATAATAAAGGTCCGCCTACTTGTCATTCAGCAGAACAAGTAGAGCACGTAACCATCGGCAGGCCGTTCCCCCGCTGGGTGCCAGCGCATGGCCCAAGGATCAGTTAAGACATGTAGTGTTCACACAGGGCTGCCGGGTTCGGTGGCTGAGACAGGCTCGGAAACAAGCCGGCTTTGTTACTTTAGTTATTGAGCATTTGATAAAACTAGTATGCCTACATGTGCTAATTAGGAGTAATTTTTGCCAGAGGTAGCATAAGTTTGGTCTTCACAATAACACTGAAAGACATACTTACGACATGAAAAATGTGTTTCACATAAAAATTGTGCACCTCCCATTTCTTTTCAGACTTGGCCTCTGAAATCAAGATTCTAAGACTACAGCTCATTATTTTGTTGGTCTTTAAATTTACACTGTAAAATGCCAGTGTTTGCTGTCTGGGCATCACAGACTTCTGAACCTGGGACTAAAGTATTTAATGATCTTAACCGACCGATGTGAGGTCCACACTTAAGACACACTGGAAGTCGACATAGACTTCAGTAATCAATTGCTTTAACACTAAGAAACTAAATACAGACATGCATGACACAGTAAAATAAATGAACCTGGTTCTCACCGATATACAGATTATTTTAAAATGCATACCCTTTTCATATTGAATTTTATTTCTCAACATATTTTTCTAAATTCTGACACATCTTAATGCCATCGTTTTATAATTTAGTAATTAAATGAACTTTGATATACATTCAGAAAGGGAGCCCATTTTTTCTTTTTCTTCCTTGAATTTATGTAATTATCATTTGTTTTGTAAACTCAAGCTAGCAAGTGCAGAGATTTAAAATATTATTGTTGCCAATGTAATTGATGTGTTGGTGTGGAGGGTAGAAGTAAGAGAACGGGTGCAGAAGGATGCAGACGGTTAAGCCAGAGTTACGGATGAATGGTCTGGCAAGTGTCTTCAGGTCACTGTATGGAAAGAACTTCCGGTTCAAATGTGTACAGTAAAGAATGATCATAACCTCTCTCTAGAATGGTCCAAAGGGACTCGGGCCTGGGAAGAGTGCCTGAGGGTGCTTTCAACCTTGAGATCATATAATTCTAGTCCAATTTAATTTATCGACTTATTTCAGATAGGATTTAAATGTTATGGGTAGACTTATCAAATGCTAAACTGAAAGTAGTCAGGCAAGGGAACTTTAAAAATTAAATCAAGGAATAAAATAATTTTAAATAAGGCCTAATGCTTATACATTTACTACATATAATACCTTCGTGTTGGTGTTGGGTTTTACACACCACAGCTGTACAATGACTATTTCTGATATTACCAAGTTGCATATCTTCATTCTGTTCATGTACGTACATCAAATAGATTGAAACAGGGCAGAACTCAGAAAGGAAGTAAATTAAGGCCCCTCCAAGTTCTTTTCGCACTCTTAATTTTTAGATTTTCTTTAGCTTTTAAATGAATTACTTTTTTCAAATTACTAATTTTTTTGAAACAGGAAAAATCAACTCACACACCGAAAGCATTTGTATTTCAGATAGAATTTTTAGTACTTTCAGCATTTCCCTAGCTCTTTGAGGGAAAAGGCTTAGTGGCTTTTTTTAAAATTTTTATTTTATTGATTATGCCATTACAGTTGTTCTATTCCCCCCCTCCGTTCCCCTCCACCCTGCACCCCCGACCCCTACCATCCCCCCTCCCCCCCGCTTTAGTTTATGACCATGTGTCTCAACTTCTTTGGATTCTATATTTCCCATACTATTCTTACCCTCCCCCCATCTATTTTCTACCTACCATCTATGCTACTTATTCTCTGTACCTTCTCCCCCCTTGTCCTCCTCCCACTCCCCTGTTGCTAACCCTCCATGAGATCTTCATTTCTATGGTTCTGCTCCTGATCTAGCTGTCCTTTTACCTTGCTTTTGTTTTAGATGTGGTTGTTAATAACTGTGAGTTTGTTGTCCTTTCACTGTTCATGTTTCTTTAACTTCTTTTTCTTCGATAAGTCCCTTTAACATTTCATATAATAAGGGCTTGGTGATGATGAACTCCTCGAATTTGATCTTATCTGAGAAGCACCTTATCTGTCCTTCCATTCTAAATGAAAGTTTTGCTGGATAGAGCAATCTTGGTTGTAGGTCTTTGGATTTCATGACCTGGAATACCTCTTTCCAGCCCCTTCTTGCCTGTAAGGTCTCTTTTGAGAAATCAGCTGACAGTCTGATGGGAACTCCTGTGTAGGTGACTGTCCCCTTTGCTCTTGCTGCTTTTAGGATTCTCTCATTTTAATCTTGGCTAATGTAATGATGGTGTGCCTTGGTGTGTTCCTTCTTGAGTCCAACTTCTTTGGGACTCTCTGAGCTTCCTGGATTTCCTGGAAGTCTATTTCCTTTGCCAGATTGGGGAAATTCTCCTTTATTATTTGTTCAAATAAGTTTTCCACTTGTCATTTTTCCTCTTCCCCCATCTGGTACCCCTATAATTCGGATGTTGGAGCATTTAAAGATGTCCTGGAGGTTCCTAAGTCTCTCCTCATTTTTTTGAATTCTTGTTTCTTCACCCTTTTCTGGTTGGTCATTTTTATCCTCCTTCTGGTCCACTCCTTTGATTTGAGTCCCAGTTTCCTTTCCATTACTATTGGTTTCCTGTGCATTGCCATTCATTTCAATTAGTTTAGCCTTCATTTGTCCCTCTAATTTGTGACTAAAATCAACGAGTTCTGTGAGCATCCTGATCACCAGTGTTTTGAACTGTGCATCTGAAAGTTTGGGTATTTCTTCATCACTTAGATTTATGGGCTCTGGGGCTTTGAGATCTTCTTGAGCCATTTTTGGTCTGTTCAGGCCCATTAAGTATGAGGAGCGGAGCCTTAGGGGCGGGGTGGGGCCTCCAGGGCGGGGTCACTGGGTTGTGATGCTGTATGTGGGCGGGGGGGTGGTTCAGAGTGGGGAAATGGCGTCCCCCTCTCCTGCTTCCCGCCACTGGGTGAGGAGCGAAGCCTTAGGTGTACACCAGGGCAGGGTCGCCCAGGTTGCTGGGTTGTGACTCTGTATGTGGGGGCGGGGTCAGAGCCGGGAAATGATGGCCGTCTCTGCTGCTTCTTGTTGCTGGGACCCACTCGGTCCCATCTCACTGCCCACTGCCTCACCAGTCTATCTGTGCAGGAATGCGCCAGCACAGTCAACCCACCGCCCTTTACTCATGCCGGATCCGCCGGTCGCTCACTGGGTCGAGCTCACTGGGTTGCTTACTGGGTCCGCCCCTTTCAACCCCGGGCCTGGGATCCGCGCGCCTAAGTCCGTCTGACCGAGTTTTCCTGTGCAACCCTGCTCCGCCAGCTGCTGGTTTCACCCCTCTTACCGGTCAGGCTGAAGAATTTGTTGTTATCAGACTTCCGAAAAGTTCAATTTTCTGTGTTCTGGCTGTGTTTTCTGTTGCTAATATTTTGTTGTCTCTAAACTTGGTTGTGGGAGAAAGCACAGTGTCTCCCATCTATGCCTCCATCTTGGCGGAAGTAGCTTAGTGGCTCTTTCTTCTGCCTTGTCACAGTGACAACTTTGAATGCAGCCCAGTTTCTTTTTGAAAGTATTTTTTATTTGAACATAGAAAACACATATAGCTTTTCTAAGATTCTAGGACCTTGACAGTGATGGTACTAATTTCCAAAGTTGTAACCATCATTTTTGGAGAAATACCAAATTTGAAGAGCTTCAAGCAAATATATCCATTGCACGATACATGATTTTTAAAACTTGTTTTTGTGAATGAGAGGCTGACTTACAATCGTGTATTACATCTCTCTACAGATTCCTGTCCCAAAGGCTTAAAGTTTCTTTATTTAGATTTATCTGCTAATTGTTTTTTCCCAATATATGTATATCTGTAGAGATGACAGATTGAAAAAAAATTATGATGGACACTTTTAAGATATTATGTGTGTTCATTTTGTAATGATACATTAGAATTATTTCCCTTAAATGTGCATTTTCCTTTCATGTCAACTCTGCAGCTATTACTACAGAATGTGCCTCGTTTCAGTCTGTGACCTTCACCCGACAATCTTTCTTAAGCACACAGCACTGCGCATGACAAGACTGATGCTCTCTGCAAAGTTCTCAGTGAATCCTGGCTGCTAAACCTCAATATCAGTCATGCAGTCAATCAGCAGACAGCAAAATTCCTGTACAGATTTCCTTAAATAAAAGTCTAATTGATTTCCACCAGATGGAGGTGTAGGTGGAAACACCTTGCATCCGCACACAACCAAATCTAAAAACAACAAAGTTTAAACAACAATAAAGGCAACCAAACCACAGAAAATCGACAATACGGAGTCCGAAAACAATGAAATGCTCAGCTAAACTGGTAAGAGGGGCAAAGCCAGCAGTGGAGCGGGTCAGGCAAAAAAGATCCCCGACTGAGGTGGTGCGCAAACAGCCAAAGGCGCGGATCCCAGGTGCGGGCTAGCTATAGGCAGACACAGGGAAGAGGCACAGTGGATAAACAGGCGGGGGCGAGTGGTGGGATGGACTGGGCAAGCAGAGAGGACTGCCATTGCTCCCTCTCTCACCCCCCCCCACATACAGCATCACAAACCAGCGACCTGGGTAGCCCCCGCCCTGGTAAACAACTAAGGCTTCGCTCCTCATACGTAACAGGGGCAAACAGACCAAAAATGGCTCAAGAACAGCTCAGAGCCCCAGAGCCGATAAATCTAAGTGATGAAGAAATAGCCAAACTTTCAGATGCACAGTTCAAAACACTGGTGATCAGGATGCTCACAGAACTCGTTGATTTTAGCCACAAATTAGAGAAACATAATTGAAAGCTAAACTAATTGAAATGAAGGGAAAGGCACAGGAAATCAATAGTAATGGAAAGGAAACTGGGACTTAAATCAAGGGAGTAGACCAGAGGAAGGAAAAAATGACCAAACAGAAAAGAATGAAGAAACAAGAATTCAAAAAAATGAGGAGAGGCTTAGGATCCTCCAGGACATCTTTAAACGTTCCAACATCAGAATTATAGGGGTGCCAGAAGGGGAAGAGGAACAGCCACGGGTGGAAAACTTATTTGAACAAATAATAAAAGAGAACTTCCCCATTCTGGCAAAGGAAATAGACTTCCAGGAAATCCAGGAAGCTCAGAGAGTCCCAAAGAACTTGGACCCAAAAAGGAACACACCAAGGCACATCATCATTACATTAGCCAAGATTAAAATGAAGGAGAGAATCCTAGATGAAGCAAGAGCTAAGGGGACAGTCACTTACAAAGGAGTTCCCATCAGACTGTCAGCTGATTTCTCAAAAGAGACCTTACAGGCAAGAAGGGGCTGGAAAGAGGTATTCCAAGTCATGAAATCCAAAGACCTACAACCAAGATTGCTCTATCCAGCAAAACTTTCATTTAGAATGGAAGGACAGATAAAGTGCTTCTAAGATCAAATTCAAGGAGTTCATCATCACCAAGCCCTTATTCTATGAAATGTTAAAGGGACTTACCTAAGAAAAAGAAGATAAAAAAGATGAACAGTGAAAGGACAGCAAACTCACAGTTATCAACAACCACACCTAAAACAAAAGCAAACTAAGAGGACAGCTAGATCAGGAGTGAAGGAGTGGAAACATAGAAATGAAGATCACATGAAGGGCTAGCAACAGGGGAGTGGGAGGAGGACAATGGGGGAGAAGGTACAGAAAATAAGTAGCAAAGACGGTAGGTAGAAAATAGGGGGGAGGGCAAGAATAGTATGGGAAATATAGAATCTAAAGAACTTGAGACACGTGTTCATGAACTAAAGGGGGGAATGGTGGGGGAGGGGTGTGCAGGGTGGAGGGGAATGGAGGGGGGGAATAGAACAACTGTAATGGCATAATCAATAAAATAAATGTTAAAAAAATAAATATTATAGATAAATAACTAATTGATAAAGTATTTAAAGGAAAGTTATACAATATACAGCATATATTTAACCATAACAATTTAAATGAATAATAGCATAGCTTAATATTTTAATTAATAATTTTACCTAATTCAAATTGAGATGATACTGCATTTGGGATGGTAATATACCATTGCAACTATGATTTTACATAATAAATCATGGACACATGACTTAAATTTCTTAGTTATGCATTTTTTGTCTGTAATATGAAATTGTTAGGCTCAACAATGCCTGATATTGCCTCCACATCTTAACAGAATATTATATTCAATGTTCTAAAAGAAAGTGTCTTAGAAAAGTTTTCTTGTATTTTATCTCTACGACCTCTAGGGGGCACTAGAAGATCTAATTGCAGGCAATGCCTGGTAGATTCGGGCAGCTATTGATCTAGATTTTATACTCTAACAGGTGTGTGGGGAAATGCGCTATCAACTGAATAAAACCAAAATGGACAAAGACGAGGCAGAAAAGGAGCACAGAGAGTACAGAATAAAAACCTTACGGGATCTGGAAATTAAAGATCAGGTAAGAGGCAACAGAGACGCACAGCAGTCAACACGTAACATGTTCCGTCTGAAGTCGATGTGGTTTTATTCCTAAGTCACTTGTTTCTATTACATTGTCTCCAACTAATAGAACCATTTGCTTAAGATGATTAAAAGAAGTTCACTTGTAGTTGCCCCAGATTCTCACCTTTCACACGCGAGGGGGAGAACACCACGTACACACGTACAGTGTTCCAATCTGAGAGGTCACAAATCTACTTTTGGGGATGTGTGTGTGTTACTGACAAAAGGAAAGAAAAACGTTCTAATGCACAGTTTGAACCTAAAATATCCATACGTAAAGTTCCTGAGAGATGCCAACTTCAATCCCATTTTAAGTGAAAAACTTTAAAATTTGAAAGATGAGATGAGTTGATATGTAAATATGTCAATCAAATTGATTGTTGGCAGAGTGAAACCAGTTTTAACAAACCATGAATATGTTTGCTCAGGGTGCCCAAACACAGTGAAATTAGAAATGTTAGAGAAAAATTCTGCTTCCTTCAGTTTGAACAGGTGTTTTATATTAAATTGTTGCTGGGATCAGATAGATGCCCCAATTTTAACTGACAACACGGATAAAAGGGTTAGAAAGGCTGCTCTAATTGGCTGGCTAACTTTGATTTTCTATTTTTATGTTATAGTACAGAACACTGAAGGCTTTCATTCTTTATATTCAAGGAAAGCAGGTTGATAAATCTATTCAATTAAAATAAGACCGAGTTCTTAGTATCGATGTTTTAAAGAAATTGCTGCAATTTAGATGTAGGTAGCCCTAGGTAAGCTTTAAAAAATGTTTCTCATTCAAAGCATTTTCCTTATATTCTCCAACATATTTTCTCTTTCAACCTGATCATCACTCTGTGACACTCACACAATTGGAAAAATACTGAAAAGGAAAGTAATAATGAAACAGTGTACTAAGTTTTTCAAGTGAAAACTGAAGTCCCTGCCTCTAAACTAAAATCTAAACAAATTAAATTAAATTTTGCTTTTGTACCATTCAAAGTGTCACAGGGTTTTACATTTCCAGAAGAATTTTCATTACGAACATGTACAAATAATGGAGCTGTTTTTTTCCATCCAGTTGGGGGCGTGCCTGAGAGAGAAATTGGAAATTCTTTTTATCAGGGACTGAAGGTTAGAACTACCAGACCAAACGCAGAATTTTCCTTTGCTGATGCATTGTGGTTTGTTTTTGAAGGATCATGTTGGCATGGTCTCACGATACTTGTTATATAGCTTTTGTGGTTTTCTATAGCTCTGCCGACATAACGTTCAGGACTAACTGGACAAATATAGCAAGGAAGATTTTCTGGCTTATTTAAATTTACATTATAATGTTCCAAAGAGAAAAAATACAATAGGAACAATGACATTATAATATCACTTGTAAATGAATAATATGTGTATAATATTAGTCTTTTAGCATTATATCTCACATCTCATTTTAATTAATTGGTGATTGTGTGGAGGCTGAAGTGGCAGGATTTTAAAAGGACTTTTCACTTGTAAACATTTCCTGCTAGATAAGGAAACATGAGCAGTTTTATAATGATTTTTAGTGTTGTTTTTCCATAGAGCTGTGCCTTTTTAGCCGATCAGAGGGTCAGGAATTAAACCTCTGTATTACAGGTCACAAGGTGTTTATGCTGTGAGGTCCTCGTTACCATGTTTTCTGGGACAGAACGTGAGGAGGTCCTATAGGTAGCCTTTGTCACTGTTTTGTATGGAACAGACAGCGTCAGAAAAGCAAGTGGCGGTGTCTCCTTCCCTGGACGGTCTGAGTAGCAAAGCAGCGATTGTTCTCTGGTCTCTCGGCCATGACCTGACCTTCTGTCTCTAAGACCCACGAGCTACTTTGCTTGGCCACCATCTGCACTCAGGAAAGAAATTTACATTTAACTTTTAGCAGCTGGGCATGTGGCGCATGTATCAGAAATACCTGGAATAATATAAAGTGTGTTTAACTTTTAAGGGTTGCAGTTATTCTGAATTGTGCAATTCAGAATAGCAAGAAGCCTATCTCCAGGGGTACAAACAAGGGTGATCTTTGTAATGTTGTCATTTTACCCATATTTTTGTTAATCTGACCACTTGGTACATTTCCAAAATAGGAGGGAAACTGAGATTGGAATGTGGTGAGAACAAGGGCTTTTTTGATGTATTCAAGACAGGGCAAATGGTTGACCACCAGAATCATTTTCCTTGTGACCCGAGGCTTGACTGTGGCATAATTAGAAAGAAAGGTTAGGAGAGTAGCAATGGCAACCTCTTCCTCTCACTTTCTTCCTTTTTCTAACTATTGTGTCACGAATCCATGGGTGGATTATCCTTTCCATCCACTCCTTTATATGCTTCAGCTTAGAGAACTGTCAACTCCCAGGATGCTTCTTACACACACACACATACACACATACACACACCCCACAATTAAGAAAATAAAAGGATATTTGGCTTGGAGGAGAATGGAAAAATCCATAACTTGATTTTTATTAGACAGTTTTGTAGGCAACAGGCAGGCACACACCCCGTCACAGGAATTTAAAAAGACATGTAAGGATAGAGAGGATTTTCATGAATTTCCACATTCCCGTCAGCATCGTTGTTTTGGCCTGTCCTCTCCCATCTTCTCACATTTCCCCCTCTCTCCTCTTTGTCCTCATTTTCAGCAACTTTGTCCCCTCCATCTTCTCTGTCTCCCCCTTCATCTTCCTCTTGTCTTCTTCCTCCACTTCTTCTTTTGCCGGGGCATTTTAAAAAGGCCCCAGACATTGTTATTTCACCCATCAGTACTTCTGTGTGCCTCCATGAAATATTTTTTCACAATCACTGCGTCATTTCACACCTGAGAATATTAACAATGATTCTGTAATAGCATGCAATGCCCGACCCATATCCAGACTTCCCTCACCACCTCAATCATCTTCGTTTTACAGTTGGTTTATTCAAACCAGGACAATAGGTGTGGAAGAATGTTGTAGTATTACCTTCTTTCACAGGAGATAAAGGGAAACAGTACAGAATTTCAACTTTCTCTGTCTATTGTTTTAATAATTTCATGCACGATAACTTGATTGTGCTTTATATTCATAAGGTACAATCATTTGAAAGAAAGATGAATCAGTCCTGTGGGAAAGTATTTGAGGGACATGCAGCGGCCGCCCTCACCATGTCCTGAAAGGAGCCCCGCAGAGTCTGAAACTCGTAACATAGTGAATTTCAGAGCCTTACACTGACGACTTAGGAACATTGCAGGGAGACCCTCTTGCACCCTGGCATCGCCAAGGTTAGCTGACTCTGAAATTGCTGGGATTTCCTTTGTCAGCTTCCACTTTGGTGAACAGATCTCAGAAGATGTCCCCAACCTTCTGCCCCTTATAGCCTTGGACCTTATAGCCCCAACCTTTGATCAGGGCCTCATGCAAAATGAAAACACAGGGCCCTTTGTTCAAAAGGCAGGCAGACAGTGAGATTCGAGGTATAAACATGTAAACTGGTTTCCTTTCTTCTGCAGTCTTTCTCTCACTTAACTTGTTCATGGGGTTTTCTGTTTGCTACTTAATGTTGGGGTCCCTCCAGCCAGGCAATGCCCATGGGAGAGCGTGGGCCTGTGACTTCCGGGCGCTCCTGGCCACCAGCCACAGAACCACACACCACCCCAGTGGGAGCGGAGGGACTCATTCTCCCCAGCCCGAGCTGGTCAGACACATGGCCCCTAGAGACGGTGGCCTCCAGTGTGGACACGCTTGGTGTCTGTGTCAGGGGGAGCAGAGGCTCCACACTGAGTCCCCTTTGTGTGCAGGGCTGGTGTGCAGCCCGCCTGGGCCAGGCAGGTCACCTGCATGGCCTGCCCTGAGATGCCAGGAGTGTGCACACTCAACCCAACCTCCCCCGGCCTCATCCAGGCTCCTGCCAGGGACAAGGGACACAGTAGAACAGGCGCCACCCTAGGTGGAGGCCAGGAAAAGGAAGCTGGAGGGGCACGAGTGTTTTAGACCTGCCCTCAGGCTGCTGACAGAGACTGGGACAAACGGGAACGCACACAGGAGCCAGGCCCACCTTCCATCCGACTGCACTTCAGAACCGAATTCCGGTAGGAAATCCTTAAGCTTTCTGAGACATCAACCACAGAGCATTAAACTGCAAGCAGTGCTCAGACGCCCGCCCGGGAAGCTGCCGTGGCTGTGGGGGCAGGCAGACTGAGGTTTGGGGTGCTGATGCCCACGCATACATCCTCGCTGCCGTGTACGGACATGGGTGGGCCAACCGCAGCCCACGGGCCTGCCCTGACCGGCCGCCGGCTCTCCCAGATGCAGCGGCAGCAGAAGCAGCCACACCCACTTGCTAATGTCGTGTCCGAGCTGCCTAGCTGGGGGGAAGGCATGTTGGGGGGCTGCGGCAGAGACCACGTGAGCCACAGAGACCGAAATGTTTGCTGTCTGACCCATCACAGAAAGTTCGCCAGCCCCTGCCCGAGGTACAGAAATAGGGCTGTTCCAGTTTCCCTGGCCTAGGAGAGCGTGGAGCTGAGTGCAATGTACAGGTCACACATCATGTGGGCACCCAGTGCAGTATGCAGATCACGTGTCGCAGAAATGTACCCTTGAAACCTGCGTGATCCCATTTACCGATGCCGCCCCAGTAAATTTAATAGAAAAACATGTGGAGCCTCGAGGTAGGAGGCTCACCGATCTTAAACCATACCTGCGTGGCATTAGCATGTTCCCGGTACAGCAAATATGCCACACCCCTGGTCTCTCAGTCATCCAGTGGCATCGCCAAGTGGGTGAGGGGCTGGGCAGAGGGCCATAGATAAGGCTCTTACCAACACCGTGAAAGTTCTAATTTTGGAGTTGTGGCTACTGCTGGGCAGGAGGCATTGGCATTCAGATTCGCCTGAGGGGGGTAATCAATGCAGGTATTTAAGGCTAGAGCACTTGTACAAAAGAAATAGGAAATTCTGGCTAGAAAAATTAA